CAGAATATAAAGGACATAATAAACTCGTACTAGTGGTCCATATCATCTCTTATCTCTATCAATTAAACATAGTCAATGTGAATGTTTATAAAAAATACATAATATGGCGGTTGAAATTTAATTCATGTAACAAACTTTGAATGTTTTACAACATTAACTGGACCGTGTTATGCATATATGAACCAAACTCACAAATTGGACAAAATAATGATCCAGAGGCTCTTTTTTCAATTTATTTTGAAGTATGAAATACTTTTAAAATTCCCAAAATCTACATTCAATATTCTGTTAAATGATATATATAGGTCAAATCATTTTCTGCACAATATGGTCCAACTAAATATTTTCCAAAAACAGAGAATATAACAAAGATTTTTTTTACAAATTAAAAAGGCGACAGTAAGCTAATGGTTAGGAACACAGAGCGCAAGCTCAAAAAGCCGTGGGTTCGAATCCACCATTCGACTACTCTCGTGAACCACTCTCGTAAGCATTAAAAGCTTACTTAGAGTGGTAAACAGGAATATTAGCAATTATTATATTCTTAGCTTTTCTTGTTCTTTTTCTTTATTGAAACGCTACCCCCACACTAGAATTTTTTTTGCATTATGGAGACAGGTAACGGAACAATTATGTATAGGCCATACAGAATAATTTCTCCGTATGGGATTCGAACTATTCGAACGCAATTCAATGCTAAGCCACTGTGCCACAGAGCCGTCATAACGTTACTAGAACTGTTTGTATTTTGATATTTGCATTTTGGAGAACATTTTTCAACTACGCCATTGAATTCTGTTTTATTGCAAATATTTGTAAGGAAAAACGTAAACATAATAAAATTTAAAACTATAAAAGTAATTTAGCGGGGTGTGTTGCCATGCCATATTTTTTCTACCCACTATGACGTCACAAGTGCTATTTAGTGATGGGTAACCTCTTTTGACGCTAAATCATTAAACATCTTATATAATTTTGGAGAACTAATTTCTACAAATGTGTTTCTGTATTGAAGGACTACTTCGCTAAGTGATATGATATCTTTTATGACAACACGAATGGATTACACTCGACGCGCTAATATTAAATATACAATTGTAAAGTCACTATATAAAATTCTATATACCAATAGTTAATATACACAGTTTGTATATAAATATCTATAAACACAACAAAAGTTCCCTATTGATCCCTACAGCACTACTTCCAACAAGGAGTTTGTGGACTCACTCAGTTGGAAACTATGACCTATTACTATTAGAAAAGAGTTTATATTCCAATTTAAACTATAGGAATATTGGAATTCCAAAGTTAAGTTTAATTCATACTGTAAAGTATTATCTTTTATAAAAATGATTTATTATTTTAAAATTATTGTGACACATGACAAAATGTCGAATGTCATTTTGATAGGTCTTGTTACAACATTTGAAGTACCTACATTGAACAAAAGTAATTTTACAGATTTTATCGCATTTATTTTTAACTTTTTAATTCCCGACGTTACGGTCACTTTATATATATATACACCCAGGTCACGGGGGGATTGAGGTGTTTGACAGCCTGACGGCATAGTTAACCTAGCCTGGGTTAGTAAAATTATCTTTATTCAATGTGTAGTATTCGCGTAAATATAATAAAATCATTATTTAAAATACAATTGATTGCATGACTGATGAGTGATGACTGTACAAAAGGATCACATTTTAAGGAATAGTAAAAATTAAATAGTGTCCTTCAATTCAGTTAAAAAATAGGACCTGATAAAAAATATTCTTCAATTATATGTAACAATTATCAAGTATAATATATCAATAACTATCAGTTGTTACTTAGAAAGGTAAAAAGGTTATTCATAAATACTAGATATAAATTCAAACAACTATCGGGATTACAAAAATGTCATTATTGTATATTATTCAAAATGTTTTCTTGTTTTTCTTTTTTGATTACAATTCGGACCTCAACACTAGCTTCATATCACATACTATTGCTTTACAAATTTTAAAAATGATATAAATGCACTTTGATTGAATTTGGCAAGTTTTAAATACAGTTTGATGCATATTGTTATGCTCGGCAAACTTATAACTGATTCATTCATTAACAGGTTTGTATATTGTATAATACAGGCCAAGTTTTATTATTTAACTTGCAATACATTAAATTAATCAAATTTAAAACTGCATTATAATTTAAATATTAAATAATGTGTGATATAGATAAATAAGACGTAGATAGATGTATATCAAAAGCTTTCAGCTTAAGTCATTAGCACCTAAACCTTGGTAGTACAAATTTTAGACCAATACTGAACACCTCCGTTTTATGAATTGCATGTCTACATACAAATGGATTACAATCCAATGAAAAAAAGCACCAAATGGAATAGAAATTAGCGTAGAACAAGAGTCATGTCGTAGCCCACTTCAAACATTAAATAGCATGGAAGAATGTTGCAAGGAATTATAAACAGGTTAGTGAAAGTAATGAAATGAACAACAGAAAGGGAAACAAACCAGAAGATGAGCAGCAGCTACTTTCTTAAAACAACTACAAAATAAAAAGCTGTAATTGCTAACCCGCCAAGTGTGGTTGTTGTTTTTATTATTCGCTCAAAAGAGCAGGCAAAGGAACTATGCCATACAGCCTTGTATTTTTTATTTTGAGTATATAGAATTTCACTGCTTCACAATATGTTGATGCGTCACATTGTGCAGCCCTTGGGAGATTTTGACGGCAACTTGAGCCAGCAGACAGCTGACAAATGGCGATTGTATCTAAAGGCGCCTATGCAAACAAACAGCTTATCTTGAGAATCCATCACCATCAGAGCACTTGTTTCACCGTTTCCACTAATAGTTCACATGCGTAGACAGTTAATACATAAAATCGCACCACTTTTACATATCACATTCCACTTCAAACTATTATTTAAGCTATAATACAGGAGCAGCAAACCGCCGGCGGTCAAGTTCCCGCCAAAACCCCGCCAAGTGTGGCAAATGACAAATACATGACAAATATTTTTTTATAACTGGCTTCACGGCTCTGGGTTCTAGCCCTTCTGAGCCTGAAGTTACAATGTATAATTATCCTTCATAGTTCATAGTACACTGCTTCACAATATATTGATGCGTCACAATGTGCAGCCCTTGGGAGATTTTGACGGCAACTTGAGCCAGTAGACAGCTGACAGTTGACAATGGTATCTCAAGGCGCCTAAGCAGACACCTTGTCTTGAGAATCACATTATCATCAGAGCACTTATTTCACCGTTTCCACTAATAGTTCATATGCGTATACACTTAATACACAAAATCGCACCACTTTTCCATATCAAAGTCTACTTCAAACCATCCTATAAACAATAATACAGGAGCAGCAAACCACCGCCGGTCAAGTTCCCGCCAAAACTCCGACAAATATTAAAGTGCGAGATAAGAAAATCTATAGATAACCTAAGTTCAGCAGTGAACTTTTGATAGGCTGTAATGAATATGATGAATGAAATGAAGATAAAGCAGTCTACAATTGATATAGGAAATGATGTATCATAAAACCTGAGAGACTTGAAAAACTGTTGAGAATGTAGCATTCCTTAGGTGTTGAAACTTAAAATATTGGTAATAAACTAATTGTACATGTTTTTACACAAAAGTCTAGTATTTGCAATGCATTTACAGACATACTGTTTCATTACTATAACATTTTAATAAATCTTTTATCTCTTAAATTAAATTAAGACTTAAATAAAGAATTAAATTTTATAAATCTTAAGTCCTTAGTAATCTGACAGTGGAGGTCAATTGTCATTATACAGGGCTTGAAACAAAGAAAAATTGATTAAAAAAGCGTCGTCTTTGAGTGAAAACTAAAATATATAATACTATCAAGTGAATAAATGTTTTATAAATATATTTACTAGTTACCTGTTAGCTTGAGAAGTTCAGGAAATTCCATGACTCCTTGCAACATTCACATCATTTAACACTGCGAAATATTATCTCAATAAAATATTAACACTTTAAACTTTCGTTAATTTAAGTTTCAATTCAAATACCGACATGACTCTTCACTGTAAATTATATTAACAACCTTAATTGAATAAATAAAAAAGACACCAATTAAAAAATTAAATTAAATATTTTCAATATATTACAAATAAATAAAATTATTCACTAGAAAATAATTCAATAGGACTTCCACAGACCGCGTATGGCCTTCAATTTTGGCGACTTTCTAGTCGCTTCTATCTCTTGTTTGAAGCTGATCATGAACTTGTCACGAAGACTGAGTCTCGGCGGGGAAGGTTTTAAAAGAAACTTCTTTAAATCATTAGTGAAACTCTTCGCTGTGTAATTGGGCTCGTCCTTCAACGATTCATCATTACTCGATTCCAGGAACGATACGGATTTATTCGATTGTATCGAGTTCTTTCTCTCGCGTTGTTTGGTGCTCGGAGTGGACCTAGAACGGGAGCTGATCGTGGCTTTACTCGATGGCAGACTGTAACTCCTCGACACCAACGAATATTCATCGTCTATCGAGTCGAGAGTGTCGGTCGAACGATTACAAATCTTGCAGCACACTCTACAGTGCTCCTTCTCGCTGTGGTAGCGTCCGCTACACAATACATAAGTCTCTTTCCCTCTATCGCCTTGCTTTCTATACTCCTCGTATCTCCTGCTTCTTTTTCTTTTGCACTTCGGGCAGTTGTTGCGCGCGATACGCCGCAGCTCTTTCAGGAATACGTAATCGATTTCAAAATATTTGACGTCGGGTTCAGAATAGTATCTTATGCCGCTGTCGATAGAGTCGGATTTCCTTTGCTTCTTGGGCATCCTGTGGTGACCCGGGTCGGAGTAGTAGCGCGGGTCGCTATGCGAGCGGCGGCGAGAGCGGCGGGATCGGCGCGCGCTGAACGTCACGGCCTTGTGCGGAGCTGAGGCGGGAGCGGGCGCGGGGGCGGGCGCGGGCGCGGGCGCGGGCGGCAGGGGTCAGGCCTGCACGGACGGCACCCACAGCGTCTTGTTCTGCTCCTCCTCCACGGCCTCCTTGATCTGCGTGCACATGTACGCGATGTTCACGCCCGCCGGGATCTCCGCTGCAATAAAACTCTTATTATGAATACCAACACAGACAGTTTCTCGTTCTAAGGTCATAAGATCGGGGTAGACTACACTCAATTCTGATTTTACACAAAAGTTAGCTCCGGCTAAAATTTGCGCGAACCAGGCAAGAGCTTTCACATAAAACATAAATTTGATTATCTATGACACTTAACAAAATCCTTACAATACATAATATACAACCCCTGAGATTTCATTTCATACATTTTATTGATCCTTCGAGCCGGATTCCACCAGCAACAATGGAATTCATGTTTTAGACAAGGTTCAGCGGTGGGATGTGACTCGAAGATACCATGAAATTATGTTTTTTTTTTATAGGAGAGGGGGCAAACGAGCATGCGGCTCACCTGATGGTAAGTGACTACCGCCGCCCACGAACAACTGCAACACCAGAGGAACCAGGAGATTTGCAGATGCGTTGCCGGCCTTTTAAAAAGGAATAGGCTCTTTTCTTGAAGGTTCCTAAGTCGTATCGGTCCGGAAAAATCGCTGATGGTAATCGATTCCACAAGGAAGTTGTGCGAGGAAGAAAACATCTTTTAAATCGCACAGTGGTGGACCGCCAATCATCCAGATGGTGTGGATGGTATCGGGAGTTCAGCCGCGATGTGCGTTCGTGAAATTTGGCGGTTGGAATTAATCCGAACAATTCCTCAGAGCACTCCCCGTGGTAAATGCGAAAGAAAATGCAAAGGACAGCAACATCTCTTCGCAGTGCCAATGAATCGAGCCGATCAAAAAGGACTCGGTCGTCGACGATTCGAGCCGCTCTGCGCTGGATGCGGTCAAGTGGAAGGAGCTGGCACTGGGGAGCCCCTGCCCAGAGATGAGTAGTGTGTGAACAGTATTCTATGTGAGGCCGAACCTGCGCCTTGTAAAGTTGCAGGCGGTGTGCCGGCATGAAATACTGTCCCGCTCTGCTGAGCACGCCAAGCTTTTTAGAGGCCAATTTGGCCTTCTCTTCCAAGTGACCACGCTGCACGTGACTCGATATGTCGACTCCGAGGATACCGATACTGGCTGAGGCAAGAAGGGGAGTGCCTTGAAACTGAGGAGATACGACAAAGGGGTTCTTTTTAGCGGTAAACGCGCAAACTTGTATTTTCTGAGGATTAAACTAAACTAGATTTAGTCGCCCCCAATCCGAGACTTTGTTCAGCAAAGACTCGACTTCAGACACAAGTTTGTTCCGGTACTCGGTGACGTTTTCCCGAGAAATATTGGCACGGCCGGTGTATAGAGCATCACCAGTGCTGTCATCCACATAGCAATGAATGTTACCAGTTAGCAACATATCATTGATATGCAGAATAAACAGCGTTGGTGATAGCACACAGCCTTGTGGAACACCAGCGTTAATAGGTTTGTAGTCGGAGCATGCAGCATCTACAACAACCTTGATGCTCTGATCTGCAAGGAAGCTGGTGATCCAATCGCACACTTTCTCGGGAAGCCCATAGGAAGGCAGCTTCGAAAGAAGCGCTTTGTCCCAAACCCGATTGAAGGCCTTCGCAATGTCCAAACTAACGGCCAACGCCTCCCCCTTGGACTCTACTGCCTCGCCCATCTATGAATCACGTAGACCAGAAGATCACCAGCTGATCGACCCCGAAGAAAACCGTATTGTCGGTCACTAATCAGCTGGTGATCCCCAAGGTACCGCATGAGCTGGCAGTTAATAATGGATTCCATTATGTTGGAGAACAAGGAGGTGATGGCGATAGGCCTGTAGTTGGACGGGTCTGAGCGGTCGCCTCTTTTAGGGATCGGGTGGACAAAAGCTGTCTTCCATGATTTCGGGACTACGCCTAGGGAGTAGGAGTACCGGAAAAGACGCGTTAGAACCGATGCCAACTCCGGAGCACACGTCCTCAGCACAATTGGGGGAATTCCGTCAGGCCCACTCGACTTGTGGATGTCCGGGGAGAGGAGTGCTTTGCGAACCGAGCGCTGTGAGAACCGCACATCCGGCATGGAGCACTGACATCGCGGGATGGTCGGCGGTGTGTTCCCCCGTCATCCAAAGTCGAGTTGGACGCAAAAAGGGAGCCTAAAAGGTCGGCTTTCTCTTTTGTGGCGTGGACCAGTGAGTCGTCTTCCCTGTGCAGAGATGGTAATGATGGCTTACAGAAATTCCCCTGGTCAGCCTTGGCGAGAGACCAGAATGCACGGGTTCCCGAAGGAAGGCGAACTAGTTTCTCGCCAATTCTGCCTATGTGCTCTGACTTTGCCTTGGCAATAACTCTTTTGAAGGACCTGGAGGCGAAGTTATACTTCTTTTTAAGCATGCTGGTGTTTACATCCCGAGTCGCCAAAGCCGCAGCCCAGGCTTGATAATACTCCTACTTACTGCGTAATGCAGTCTTACAGGAGCGACCTAACCAAGGCTGAGATCTGCCTCCGATGGATACCACAGATGATGGAATAAATAGTTCCATTCCCTGTAGCACCACATCGGTGACAGAGTCAGCAACAGCGCTGGGATCATCCGGCGAGAAGCAAACCCGCCCCCATGGGTAGGATGAAAGAAAGACCGCATTCCGTCCCAATCCGCCGACCTATAATGCCAAGCACGGCGGCAACCTGCAGAACGCAACGTCGAGGGGAGCGTGAGTGGCACAATACTCCGGATCAGGCAATGGTCCGAAGAACCGAGAGGGACATCGACAGAAAACTGATATTCGTCCGGATGAGAGGTGAGCAGAAGGTCCAACAGGGAAGGTGTATGATCCTCCACATCTGGAATCCGCGTAGGCGAAGTAACGAGTTGTGTCAGTCCATATGCCAAGGCAAAGTCATAAACAGATCTTCCCGCATGATCGGTTAAACGTGAACCGAGCCATTCGGCGTGGTGGGCGTTAAAATCACCAAGGATCACGATCTCTGCGGATGGGACCTGTTGTAGCAAGGAATCTGTAGCCATTTGGACGTGGTCAATGAGTCGGTCTGTTTCAGCATTACCGCTATGGGACCTATAGAGGCACCCGTAGATGCGCGGATGGTCGTCGCTGTCTACGCGTAGCCAAAGGATGGACAGGTCCGAACCTTCAGGACTGCCGAGGCATCGAGAACAGATGTCCTCTCTGACGTATACGCAAACTCCAGCCCGAGGCACAAAGGAGTGCTCCAATTTGTACCCCGGGTAGGAGAGATACGAAGTATCAGCCGGAGAGGACATCTGCGTCTCGGTCAGAAAGAGCAAGGCCGGCTTCGCCGTCTCAAGATGGTAATGGACTGCGTTTAGGTTCGAGTGAAGTCCCCTGATGTTGCAGAAATTCACGGATAGCGTGGCAGGGGTCGCCTTGGTCTTGTTGCTCAGTTTGCCCCGAGCAGTTATGTTTTTGAGCGGAATTTTGCCCCCCCCCCCCCTCCCGATTACACGGGGCAGCCTGAGCACCCACGTTCAGGAGTGGAATAACATGGTCGTGGATGCCCAGCGAGGGATTATCCAGGGGTACTGGTACCCTCCTGGGGTAGTCTTTGATGTAATTCCGCTACCATGTTGATGGGGGGGGGGATTGGGCCTCCGGCCACCTGCACTCACCAGACGAAACGCAGAAGCAGAGCTTTTACTTCACGCCGGTTTTCTGTGAGGTCGTGGTACCAACCCGGCTCGAGCCGGCCCATACGTGCAACAGCAAAAACTGCCGCGTGGCTCTACCACCGTAATATATGTTTATGCGGCGTGGTTCGAAGGAACCTAACCAAAATGGCGGAGAACGCCGCGCGTATACTATATACTTTACGACAATAGACACTTGCGTAAAATTGATTCAATTCGTTGGCTGGTACGAAGGGAAGATGAGCTGCTGAAGAATAAGGAACAATAAATAAAACAGCTCATTAGCTCAATACCTTGACAATGGGCGGCGTATCTCGTGTCTTCGACTACTACTGGACGCGCGATAAATTATGAAACTCTTTTCGATAAATTCGTATGCACCAAAACAATCTTCCAGCGATTAAATAACTTTTAAGACAACAATTTTGTCTTGCGGTTTGTGTCGACAACTATAGTGTCGGACGGACGTCCGACGCGGCGATACATTTCACTCTCGGTATGGAAAAGGAAGTGGGAGAAGGAAGTTTTGCCAACCAAACATTAACTGATACCCTCTAAACTAACGAAATACAAACGTATGCGGTGGCGCAACCAGACAGAATTGAATATATCCTGTGCGTTTTTCAACAACAGAAGCTTAGTGGCCTCTTCCCACAACCTACCATGCCTAAATTTATAGAAATCTTGAGCATGATGAGCTTTCATACACATTCAGTTTATTTATAGAAACTATAATTATTCTTTTTAAGGAAGTTGCCATGAAAACTTTTACGTGACATATATCTGAGATTCATATGCTTCGCTGGCGCATCAACAACGCAAACTTAACTTAGCCCCATTCGATATTTTATGTTTATGATAGAATGTTTAATTGAATATTTGAAAATAATTAGTCAGTTATGTTATCTCAGGACGCATTATGGACAAATTTAACTTACCGGAAATATAATTCCTATATTCATTCTCCACCTTTAGTCCGTGCTCATACATTTCCTTGGCAGCCTTGGCGGAGACTTTATCAGCTGGATATCGCGTGTCTTTAACTTCTTTTATTTGCTTAAATGATTTGAATTTTATGAACAGCACAATAGGGTATATCTGGTGTTTGTGAAGTTTCTCTATAGTTGACACGCTGATGTCTAGGATGCAGTGTATGCCCTGAAAATAAAATGAATAGAATTTTCAATAATAATAAGTAGTGTTAAATATCTTTTGTTTTTTTTTTTATAACCGATGTTAGGAGTTCAGATAGTGACTTTATGGCTTTTTCATTAAAATAATAATTAGAATTGCTTTATTTAACAATTTTTTCAACAAATCACGCAAGCACGCACACGCACACGCACACGAACACGCACACGCGCACACACACAGCGGTACCTTGTCGGCGAGGTCGCGCACACACACACAGCGGTACCTTGTCGGCGAGGTCGCGCACACACACACAGCGGTACCTTGTCGGCGAGGTCGCGCACACACACACAGCGGTACCTTGTCGGCGAGGTCGCGCACACACACACAGCGGTACCTTGTCGGCGAGGTCGCGCACACACACACAGCGGTACCTTGTCGGCGAGGTCGCGCACACACACACAGCGGTACCTTGTCGGCGAGGTCGCGCACACACACACAGCGGTACCTTGTCGGCGAGGTCGCGCACACACACACAGCGGTACCTTGTCGGCGAGGTCGCGCACACACACACAGCGGTACCTTGTCGGCGAGGTCGCGCACACACACACAGCGGTACCTTGTCGGCGAGGTCGCGCACACACACACAGCGGTACCTTGTCGGCGAGGTCGCGCACACACACACACAGCGGTACCTTGTCGGCGAGGTCGCGCACACACACACAGCGGTACCTTGTCGGCGAGGTCGCGCACACACACACAGCGGTACCTTGTCGGCGAGGTCGCGCACACACACACAGCGGTACCTTGTCGGCGAGGTCGCGCACACACACACAGCGGTACCTTGTCGGCGAGGTCGCGCACACACACACAGCGGTACCTTGTCGGCGAGGTCGCGCACACACACACAGCGGTACCTTGTCGGCGAGGTCGCGCACACACACACAGCGGTACCTTGTCGGCGAGGTCGCGCACACACACACAGCGGTACCTTGTCGGCGAGGTCGCGCACACACACACAGCGGTACCTTGTCGGCGAGGTCGCGCACACACACACAGCGGTACCTTGTCGGCGAGGTCGCGCACACACACACAGCGGTACCTTGTCGGCGAGGTCGCGCACACACACACAGCGGTACCTTGTCGGCGAGGTCGCGCACACACACACAGCGGTACCTTGTCGGCGAGGTCGCGCACACACACACACAGCGGTACCTTGTCGGCGAGGTCGCGCACACACACACAGCGGTACCTTGTCGGCGAGGTCGCGCACACACACACAGCGGTACCTTGTCGGCGAGGTCGCGCACACACACACAGCGGTACCTTGTCGGCGAGGTCGCGCACAGCGCGCGGGTCGGGGCGCGCGCGCGCGAACACGTGCGGCCAGTCCGTCACCAGCTTGCCCGCCACGCACTCCCACAGCGGACCCAGCACCACCACCGGCCGCTGGCTGCCGTCTGTGCGAACAAACAACTAATTATATAATCATTCAAAATTAAACATTTTGTACAACCGATTTCAATATAAATTATTAAGAATAACTCGATTGGTCAGACCTTGATCAAATTTATGTGGGGCCACATGAGAAGCACCAGATTTCAAATAAAAAAAGAATCATCGAAATCAGTTCACACAGAAAAAAGTTTTGAGGCGACACATAAAAAGAACATACAGTCGAATTGAGTACCTCCTCCTTTTTGAAGTCGGTAGAAAAGAGATAGGACTATATTAGTGATTTAAACTGTTATCGCCTGCGATCGAAGTACAATAAAATAAATAAATAAAATAATAAAATAAACCTTTATTATTTTCTCCCACAAATTGTACAATTGCATATTTTATCTTTTAAAAACATATATATTTTTTATAAAAAAAAAAACAAAGAGGTACATAAATTTGTGGGAGACGGGAGTCCACACTAGGATACCCTGTGCTATGGATCTCCCGGCTCCCCATTTAGAATGATCAACTAGATGTTTTTTTTTTTATTATACGTATATAGCAGAGACTTTTTTCCGTTTGCGAAAGAGCATACGCGCAAGCAGTTAATCTTATTGTTTGTGTGTGTGTGTGTGTGTGTGTGTGTGTGTGTGTGTGTGTGTGTGTGTGTGTGTGTGTGTGTGTGTGTGTGAGTGTGTATGTGTGTATGTGTGGGTTAACTCGTACGTGGTATGTTAAGATGCAATTTGCAGTAATTGTTCTGTTTTTTCGTAATCAAGTTTAAGCAGCCAATTTGAAATTTTCTTTTTATGTGTATTAATGTGTTTAAGTAAAGCTTGGCGTTCGTTTGTATAACTTTCTTTCCGTAAAATTAGGATCCCTTCATTCAAAATGTAAATGGATGTTAGTATACATTGCGTTGAACATGAACATGCGATCGTGGACTTATTAAGCAGCGCCGCTGATGGACGTGCTCAATACCGTGTAGTGGCGGTGTAAGAATATCCACTACCTCATATCGTCTCGTGGGTGTCGTAAGAGGCGACAGAGGGAAACAAATCAGGAGATGGGCATCGTCTTTCTAATAACGACTAAAAATAAAAAAATAAAGTTGCCAACCCGCTTGCAAAGAGTGGCAACTATAGCAAATATTCCCCCTATAATGCAATCTATTTGATATACGCCACGGAGCCGTCAATAAATTGATATTGGCGGCTCCGTAGCGCAGTGGTTAAGCAATCAGTTGTTGCGCTGGGGGCCGCGGGTTCGAATCCCGCACGGAACAAGTATTTGTATGACCTACAAATAATTGTTCCGGGTCTGGATGTTTGTCTTTGTGGAATTTATGTTTGTAAACTGCCTCCACGACACAGGAAAAAATCCTACTGTGGGGGCAACGTTTTTTTTAAGATAAAGAATAAATGCAATCTATATGGGGGAGGCCTATATTCAGCAGTCGACTTTAAGAAGCTGTAAAAGTAACGAAACATGAACAAAATACCTTCATATTCTTGTTTAAAGCATTTTGTATAGAAAAATCTTTTTTAAATCTGCCTTAAAAACAACATAATAATTTTCATTTTCGTACACCTCTATGGCACAGTACTTTTCGAATCATATAAGTTTTATTACTCTCCTTTTGTAATAAATACTAAAAAAGGTACCTCAAATAACGACGTTTGTGTTTGTATTGTATTAGGATTATGATTAATGAACACTTTGCCAACAATATTGTACGGAGCAAGCAACGTACATTCGCTGCGGTCATCATTCTTACGTGCCGCAATTTTATAACATCAATTCAAGACAAACTAAGGCCACGTATTACTCACATCAATCAAACATTTTATATTTTTGCTTTACATTATCATCATTAGCAATTAGTTTAATATCAATAAATTGTTATAAATGCCAAAAGCTATTTTTCTTGATTTATTAATTAAAAGTTTGTGTGGTCCTTCGAGCTGGATCAAATCTGTCCAACCAACAAATCTATGCATTTATGCGGTGCGTAAAAATGTTGTTCACAATAAACGATAATTTTTTACACCGTACAAATATTCAACATTAAAATAAATCAGACAGAAAATTAAAGTATAGTATATTAAAAATTCTCTCCTTCTCTTTTAGCTTTTGTCAGGAAGCTGCCCATCACCAGTTTCATATCCTTCTATCGCCAGTTGCGATACCCACAGAACAATATGAGATAGTGGAATGTCTTATGCTGTCTATGCTACACGAAGATTCCATTTAAATGATACTAGCTTTATTGGATTTGATAGCGTATATTAACCTAACGTAACGATAATGATTTCTCATATTTACGTGAATACTACACATTTAATGAAAACTAATTTTATCGCGCTTAATTTGAACTTTTTGATTCCCGAAGTTTCAGGTTCTGCGTAGATCGAACCGAAATGAACAACTTCTCTGTCCGCGAATCAATACACAATATTTAAATAATTGAAATGTTCATATATGACTCACAGGCTCAGTAAAATTCTTAATATACCAAAGCCGGACTAACAATGACATCAAGACGTCAAATACCTCAGTCCCCCCCCCCTCAAGTGACCTAAAAAGTGAAAATTAAACGCGATAAAATCTGTAAAATTAGTTTTAATCAACGTAATTAACGTAAAGAGTTAAAATACGCGATAAAATCCGTAAAATCTTGTTTCATTAAATGTGTAGCGTTCACGTAAACATAAGAAATCATTACGACGAATCCAATTTCAATCGCAACTCACTAATTACAAATATATGCATATACAATATGACTATACTTATCTATATATTATTATAATATATTATACGTGGTAGAGCCATGCTGCATCTATATTATTGTTGTAGCACTAATGGGTCGGCTCGACCGGGGAAGGACCACGCTCTCACAGAATACCAGCGTAAAATAGCAGTTTAACGCTGCTGTGTTTCGTATGGTGAGTGTAGAGAACCGGAGACCCTTTTTACTGGAAAAGAGGCATTTCATCTTAGTCCTCACGGGTGACAACGCATCTGCATTTTGACTCTATATCGAAGATAGATGTATGTAGATGTCTATGGGCCGCAGCGACCACTTCAGGTGGACTGTGTGCTCGTTTGTCACCCTTATCCTATAAAAAAAAATCTCTTCCTCCACAAAATAGGCGATATGAAGAAGGGTCAAATTAAGACTACCCTTAACCTACGAGCATGTATGCGTAGGTAGGTATATGGATGTAAAGGAGGCGAAAGAGGTATGTCAAGATCGTACCAAATGGCAGTTCGTAATCTCCACCTATATCTCTCGGTGACAGGTAGGAGTGTTTATGTTATGTAACATTTCTGTATGTATAGTTACAGTGCAGCCTCTCGACGCGCTGGTAGGAGAGCGGCGGCGCGTCGTCGGCGAGCGTGCCGGAGTCGCTCCAGCAGCCCAGCTCGGTGTTGGAGAAGGAGGCCAGCTCCTTGCTGTCGCGGTGCTTCTTGCGCCGGAAGAACGAGCGCCGCGCCGTGCTCGACGCGCGCCGCTGCGCCTCGCTGTCCGCCGCGCCCGACGACCGACGCAGCACCTCCTCCACTCTGCCGATCGAACGATACATTCAATCTTTATTTCCTTTTTATACGTGGTAGAGCCACGCTGCAGTTATATTACGATTGTAGCACGAATCAGTCAGTTCAACCGGGGTAGGACCACACTCTCACTGACTTTATCATCATTATTATTACAGCCCTTCACAAGTCCACTGCTGAACAAAGGCCTCCCCCAAGGAAAGCCACAAAGCACGGTCCTGAGCCACCTGCATCCATCGACTTCCTGTATGTCTTACCAGGTCGTCACTCCATCTAGTGGGGATTCGCCTACACTTCGCCTACCGGTACGAGGCTGCCACTCGAAAACCTTTTTTCCCCATCGGTTGTCGGTTCTTCTAGCTATATGACCGGTCCATTGCTTATTAATCCATTGGGCTATGTCGGCCACTCTGGTTCTACTGCGGTTATCCTCATTTCTAAGTTTATCACGCAGAGAAATCAGAGCATAACCCTCTTCATAGCTCGCTGAGCAACCTTGAGCTTCCTCATACAGCCAGGTGAAGGACCACGTCTCAGTTCCATAAGTCATAACTTGCAACACGCACTGGTTGTAAAGTCTAGTTTTCAAGTTTAGAGATATACCTGATGATACCCGAACGCTGCCCAGCCGTGTAGAATCCGTCGATTGACCTCTCGGTCGAAGTTGTACTTTCCTAGTCGGACTATTTGTCCCAGGTAAACATACTCGCCAACAACTTAGAGCTTAGTGCTCCCAACAACTACCGGCATAGGTGTGACATGGGACGTTATACATTATTATGTCCATGTTCATCTTAAAACCTATCCGTTGGGTTAGGTTAGGTTAGGTTAGGAGTCATTGGTTAGGAGCTATTGAGGTCATTGAGTATAGTGCTTAAGTCCTCCAGCGATTCTGCCATAAGGACTATATCGTCGGCAAATCGAAAGTGAGTGATGTACTCTCCATTGATATTAATACTGTATCCTTTCCAGTCCAGAAGCTTGAAAACGTCTTCCGATGCAGCGGTGAAGAGTTTCGGGATATAACGTCACCCTGTCTTACACCTCTCTGCAGTTGGATAGGTTTCGTACTCTGGTTCTGTACTCAGATAACCATCGTAGCCCCTACAGTACAAACACTTCAGCACTTCCATATACCGACAGTCAACTTGGCACCGCTGAAGGGACTGCAGCACCTCCCAAATTTCGGAATCAAAGGCTTTCTCATAGTCCACATACGAAAGACATAGTGGAAGATTGTACTCCTCGGTCTTCTGTACAATTTGCCGAAGAGTATGTATGTGGTCTATGGTAGTAAAGACTTTTCAGAAACCGACTTTTTCGGGGGGCTAGAAGTCGTAGAGTCTGCGTTTGAGACTATTCGTAATGACTCTCAAAAACAGGACGTAGACGCGGCTCAGAGAGAAAATCGGTCTGTAGTTCTTCAAGACAGCGTTGTCGCCTTTCTTGAAGAACACGACCACCGCACTTCTGCTCCACGCCTCCAAGTAGTCCCATCATGGAGGACGGAATTAAACAGCTTCTGAATGACTTTAAGTACCGGTTCCCCTTTCAGAAGCTCCGCTATAATTCTATCCTCGCCCGGGGACTTGCCGTTTTTAAGGCGCTGGAGAGCCTAATTTCGCATGAACTGACGTCCGGAATATAATCGAAATAGTGTCGGATAAGACTTGCTTTTGGATCGTTACTCACACTTGCGTGTGGCTCCAACTATGATATGTACAGCCATAGAACCTCTCAATCTCACTCAAAATCTCAGGTGTCCCGGAAACGATGCTGCCACATTCGGTCTTCAGCTTCAACAGTTGGCTCTTTCTGGCAGACAGATCTTTGGCAAAGACTTTGGAGCCCCGGTTCCATTCAATCGCTTCTTCAATACGAGCAGTATTAAAGTTGCGTAAGTCCAGCCGCATGCATTTGGAAATCTGTCTGTTCAGCTGCCTGTATGCTGTCAAATCTACTGAAGACTGCAGCTTCATTTCCCGTCTAACAGCCATGAGATTAAGAGTGTGATCGGAGAGTTTTTGTTTTCTTCTGCGGTGGGTTTTACAAAACTTAGCGCCAACCGCATGGACAGTTTCCACGAGCTTGTCATTTATATCGTCCACAGCATGGCAATCTTCTAGGCACTGAAAACGATTTTATAACTTGAGCTGAAAGGTTTCTGGGCCCTGGATTAGAAGCACGAAAGGGATGAAGCGTTGAATTCATTAGGCGGCGGCACCTCTCCAACTTAACGTTTAGGTTCAGTGTGCCTCTTAACCATTCAGTGGTTGCTACCAGTTTTCACCCTCGCGTTCACTGAGACATCACTCCACAGTTACCGTCTAGTCGTCATATTGAAGTCAATCTCATTTTTTGTCGAACCGTCGGGGTTCGATCACGTCCACTTCCTGCGGGGCCGTCTTCTAGACATTTTTTTAAGTTAACTGTAATTTTGTTTTTGTTTATAGTATGCTTTTAGACAGTCGGTTAAATATCATGCAAACGAGTATAGCTAGAGATTTTGCGCAAGTAGATCAAAAGATAGGAGGAGGAGGGTCTAATTTGTTTCCGTATTTTTCCCATCGTATGTGAGCTTTTGTTTTCTTTAATAATACGTATTAGTGGTAAAGAATTTACGCTGTCATCACAAAATCAAAATAATCAAATCAATAAAATACTTACTTGAACTTGCTCGGTATCGTCCCCCAATGCCTCTTCATTCCCTTCCCATCAAGTTGCCAAGCTCTCCACAGTCCCGGGGCTCCGTTAAACAGAGTATTGTCCACAAACAGCACTTCATCTTTTCTGAACCACAGGGAATATTCGTCTATGGTATCCATGCCTATAGAGGTGATTTTCGCGCAACGGTCGAAGCCGGCTCGAATGTAGAACGCGTCTCCCGGTTTATCTTTAATTTCGTGATATTGTTGTAAGTCGTGACGGACTAAAACGCTCACCTGTAAACAATTACATAAAAATGAAGGAGTAAGCAATAGTAATTTAGTATTGGTAAGCATTCATGACAACAATCATTGAACAAAATAAAAAGGCAGGTAAGGTGAGTGTAGAGAACTAGAGACCCTATTAACTGGATATGATTCCTTTTTAGACCTCAGGGTTGACAACGTATCTGCATTTTGGTTTATAACTGATGATGGATGTAGTAGTTTATAAGCCACAGTCTTCCGCTTGCCATTAGGTAGACTGTGTTCTCCTTGTCACCCCCACTTCCATTAAAAGTTTCAAGATATAATAATATGTAAATGGTTCGGAGACTACAACAGACGACAATTTGCATCAGTACTTTTAAATTTGTATCTTTCAATAATAATTAAATAAAAAGCAAAATTTAAAAGTTTGGGTACCTCTGAAAATAGTTTATACTTTTTATCATGTTCTATTGTAGTTTTAATTTAATAAATTTTCATTATTATTGAAAATGACACAGTACCCAACATTTAACTAACATTCTGTATTTCTTTTTATTGTGAGATAAAATTGATAAAATGATTTATTATAAATTACAGCCTTAATCACTAATAATAATAAGCTGTGTCAACTTAAGAAATGTTTGAAGTTCTCTCTTCATTAAATGACAATAGAAAAGGACAGGTATAGCGATAATTAATACTTAAGTAAGCGATAGTAAACGATTATAAGTAAGGCTGTATATATTTAAATAACTTATTAAGTTACACATACGAGTCTCACCTTATCCGCCGGTTTAGCCAACTCCAAAGCAGCTTGTTCAGCGGTGGCTCTCCTCAAATCCACATTATTGTACTCCAAAATTTGATCACCGGTCCTCAACCCTGCTATGTAGGCCGGCGAGTCTATCTGGACGCTGTGCACAAAGATCCCAACTGCATTGCCCCCCACCAAGCTTATACCCAGGTCGGAACAATTACGCATCTCGATTAGCAAAAATCTAGGCAAATCCTTATTGCCTTGCGACTGCCTTAACGTCGCTACGTCAGTTGAAGGCACGTCCATTCTGAGTGACTGCTGCGGTCCTGGCGAATTTCTAGGAGTCGGAGAACCGGATAAAGAAACTTCGTCATCATGTGAACTCTCACCCGATGACGAGCTGCCTGGAACTTCCATTTCATCCTTGTACTTCTCAGGGCTGTATTGCACTAGCATGGTTATAGAATTTCCTATTTGTCGTAACACACTGGCGGCTAGCGTGTAGGTGGCTGATCTCATATTAATACCACAAACCTCGAGCAATTGATCCCCAACCTGCAACCCCACTTGACTGGCTAAGGAATTCTCGTTCACCGTCGAAACGAACACCCCTCCACTACTAGGGGGACAGGAGATTTGAATACCAAGCGGCTGCTGGCTCTTGTCTATATGAACTCTTCTCAACTCCCCCGGGAGAGGTTTATTCCAACCTAAACCACAGTACTCAGGCATGGAGTTCCTCGTACCTTTGTGCGTCAACTGCTTCGCCCCTCTACCCGGACTCAAGACTTCCACGTGAAATGTTGGCATTGGAGAATTTCTTTCCGAACTCCTCTCTATAGATCCAGTGCTAAGTTTGCCTGCTGAGTTTTTAGAGGTGACGCTCGGGTTTGAGGGTATCCGAAACCTCTGGTTCTCCTTTTTCCTCGGAAACGTGCCCCCTTCGTATGTGTGATGGTATTCCCTGTTCACCCTCGCGACTGGTTGAATGTCGGACATATTGTGTGTGTGCGACGTAAAAGAATGCATGTCGTAACTCGTTCCGATACTTTCTCCGGACTGACTCTGCGGTATGTTCGTCGGACTCGACAAGTGCGTATACCTATTCGATGTATGGGGGTTGGAGTTAACGAAAGGACCTCTGTAATACTGGGACTGGAGACGGGATTGTGACGGTAAGGTGCCCGTCATTGGAAAGTTGGCAGTGCTGTTCAGACTATCAGGTCCGAAACTATCGCTGTCCGAAGGATATTTGTTCACCGTTTTGGGCGAAGACTTCTTAGTTGAATAGTACTGGTCTAGAATGTCCTTCCCCGGGTGGTTTTTCATCGCGTGGTCCAGCGAGCTCGGTGATTTTCTCGTGACGAAATCTAGAGAACTGGGGCCTTTGTTCACCATAAAGTCTAAGGAGTGTGGGCTTTTAGTTCTATTCCTTGTAGCCGGCTGGTAATCTAACGAGTCGTCTGATGGATTTAGGACTAAACTGAGTCTGTTTGGAGTGACGTCATGTTCGTAATCGCTTATAGATATCTTGTCTTTCTCCAAGGTTCTCGTCTTCTCGAAGTTCATATTACTCGGCGAGGCGAAAGGGTTGTGTATAGTTAAAGGGGCGGGTTTGGGGAAGTGTTCGATAGCTGGCGACGACTCTATTGACTTGTAGACGGAATGCCTCGCCGGCGCTGTTATTTGCGTCAGTGGCATATGGCCCAACGGTATTGGGTTTGAATTTCTATTTACGTTCGATCTTTGCGGTTCGGGTGGTAGTTTTGTAGGTGGACTTAGGAGTATGGATAGTGGTGGTCTTTCCTTTCTAGAGCGCGGCTGAACTATGGTGCCGGTGGAGTTTTCTTCTAGAATGAAATTGGCGCGCGCTTTAGGCCACGTGCCACCATTTTTAGCGTCGTTCTGCGCTTCTTTGTTTTTCCGACGCGAGCGTTTTAGTACACTGCTGGTTTCTTTAACTGTAAGAAAACGTAGCTTAATTAAAAACGAGATTTTTTCTTAACTGTTAAAGGCATTTTAATTATTTACTTGATGTTCCATAAAATTCAATAAACATTTCGTGAAAATGTGTGTGTTAAATTATACTACAAAATATATTCAAATTAAAAATTAATCCTCAAAATTACTAAGATAAAACTATATGTAACAAAAAAAACAGCGTAAAAGGGACCATGACCATGTGTAATATAATTTAGTTTCTGTTTATCCTGCATTTGTTTTGGATGTCGAGGAACGATCGATAAGTAGAAGAAAAACAACATAGAAAAACATTTGCGCATGGGTAGCCTTTATTCACAAAACTAATATTCATACTGGAATAATTATTACAAAAGTGAAAGCAAGAATTATTATCAAATGAGTATAGAGAATAAAACTTACTGGTCTTGCCGTGATAGCTGTCGATGACGGAGTCCAGTTCAGCTATAGCGTCCGTCTCAGGCACCTGCGAAGGAATACCTTACTTTTGACGAGTTCTGATTTTCGTGTTGTGATAATAAATAAAGAGCAATCTGCCGGTTGTTAAAATCCCGCAAAAAAAAAGTTTAATAACATTTGATAGCTGTCAAGTGTAATAATATTATTTTAGTTATCTGTTCGTTCGTTAACTGCCCGTAAGCGTACCTTGTTCTGTTTGTCCTTGGACTTGCTGCGACCGGTGACCGCCTCGATTTTGCCGCGGATCATGTCCCACGTGCCTGCAAAGAACACGTACCACGTTACAACTGCAAGCCTCAAGTGTCTTATAATAAGGCGGCGATACACTAGTCGCATTTTTATAGAAAAGTGGCAAACAAGGACACAGTCATGTACATGTGTTTTAACGGTGGTAGAGCCACGCAGCAGTTTTTGCTGTTGCATGTATAGGCCGGCTCGAGCCGGGTTGGTACCACGACCTCACAGAATACCGGCGTGAAGTAGAAGCTCTGCTTCTGCGTTTCGTCTGGTGAGTGCAGGTGGCCGGAGGCCCAATCCCCCCCCCCCTATCAACATGGTAGCGGAATTACACGATGAACTACCCCAGGAGGGTACCAATACCCCTGGAGAATCCCTCGCTGAGCATCCACGTACCATGTTATTCCGATCCTGAGCGTGGGTGCTCAGGCTGCCCCGCGTATTCTGGGGGGGGGGGGGGGGCAAAATTCCGCTCAAAAGCATAACTGCTAGGGGCAAACTGAGAAAGAACACCAAGGCGACCCCTGCCACGCTATCCGTGAATTTCTGCAACATCAGGGGACTTCACTCTAACCTAAACGCCGTCCACTACCATCTCGAAACGGCGAAGCCGGCCTTGCTCTTTCTGACCGAGACGCAGGTTTCCTCTCCGGCTGATATTTCGTATCTCTCCTACCCGGGGTACAAATTGGAGCATTCCTTTGTGCCTCGTGCTGGAGTTTGCGTGTATGTCAGAGAGGACATCTGTTCTCGACGCCTCGGCAGTCTTGAAGGTCCGGACCTGTCCATCCTTTGGCTACGCGTAGACAGCGACGACCATCCGCGCGTCTACGGGTGCCTCTATAGGTCCCATAGCGGTAATGCCGAAACAGACCGACTCATCGACCACGTCCAAATGGCTACAGATTCCTTGCTACAACAGGTCCCATCCGCAGAGATCGTGATCCTTGGCGATTTTAACGCCCACCATGCCGAATGGCTCGGTTCACGTCTAACCGATCATGCGGGGAGATCTGTTTATGACTTTGCCTTGGCATATGGTCTGACACAACTGGTTACTTCGCCTACGCGGATTCCAGATGTGAAGGATCATACACCTTCCCTGTTGGACCTTCTGCTGACCTCTCATCCGGACGGATATCAGGTTTCCGTCGATGCCCCTCTCGGCTCTTCGGACCATTGTCTGATCCGGAGTGTGGTGCCACTCACGCTCCCTTCGCGGTTGCGTTCTGCAGGTTGCCGCCGTGTTTGGCATTACAGGTCGGCGGATTGGGACGGAATGCGATCTTTCTTTGCATCCTACCCATGGGGGCGGGTTTGCTTCTCGCCGGACGATCCCAGCGCTGTTGCTGACTCTGTCACTGATGTGGTGCTACAGGGAATGGAACTATTTATTCCATCATCTGTGGTACCCATCGGAGGCAGATCTCAGACTTGTTTTGGTCGCTCCTGTAAGACTGCATTACGCAGTAAGCAGGAGTGTTATCAAGCCTGGGCTGCGGCTTCGGCGACTCGGGATGTAAACACCAGCATACTTAAAAAGAAGTATAACTTCGCCTCCAGGTCCTTCAAAAGAGTTATTGCCAAGGCAAAGTCAGAGCACATAGGCAGAATTGGCGAGAAACTAGTTCGCCTTCCTTCGGGAACCCGTGCATTCTGGTCTCTCGCCAAGGCTGTCCAAGGGAATTTCTGTAAGCCATCACTACCATCTCTGCACAGGGAGGACGACTCACTGGCCCAAGACGCAAAAGACAAAGCTGACCTTTTAGGCTCCCTTTTTGCGTCCAACTCGACTCTTGATGACGGGGGGAAAACACCGCCGACCATCCCGCGGTGTGAGTGCTCCATGCCGGATGTGCTGTTCTCACAGCGCTTGGTTCGCAAAGCACTTCTCTCCCTGGACATCCAGAAGTCGAGTGGGCCTGACGGAATCCCCCCAATTGTGCTGAGAACGTTTGCTCCGGAGTTGGCACCGGTCCTAACGCGTCTTTTCCGGTACTCCTACTCTCAAGGCGTAGTCCCGAATTCATGGAAGACAGCTTTTGTCCACCCGATCCCTAAAAAAGGCGACCGCTCAGACCCATCCAACTATAGGCCTATCGCGATCACCTCCTTGTTCTCCAAAATAATGGAGACACAAGTTTGCGCGTTTACCGCTAAAAAGAACCCCTTTGTCGTATGTCCTCAGTTTCAAGGCACTCCCCTTCTTGCCTCAGCCAGTATCGGTATCCTCGGAGTCGACATATCGAGTGACGTGCAGTTTCGTGGTCACTTGGAAGGGAAGGCCAAATTGGCCTCTAAAAAGCTTGGCGTGCTCAGCAGAGCGGGACAGTATTTCATGCCGGCACACCGCCTGTAACTTTACAAGGCGCAAGTTCGGCCTCACATGGAATACTGTTCCCATCTCTGGGCAGGGGCTCCCCAGTGCCAGCTCCTTCCACTTGACCGCATCCAACGCAGAGCTGCTCGAATCGTCGACGACCGAGCCCTTTCCGATCGGCTCGGTTCATTGGCACTGCGAAGAGATGTTGCATCCCTCTGCATTTTCTTTCGCATCTACCATGGGGAATGCTCTGAGGAATTGTTCGGATTAATCCCAGCCGCCAAATTTCACGAACGCACATCGCGGCAGAACTCCCGATACCATCCACACCATCTGGATGATTGGCGGTCCACCACTGTGCGATTTAGAAGATGTTTTCTTCCTCACACGACCTCCTTGTGGAATCGATTACCATCAGCGATTTTTCCGGACCGATACGACTTAGGAACCTTCAAGAAAAGAGCGTACTCCTTTTTAAAAGGCCGGCAACGCATCTGCGATTCCCCTGGTGTTGCAGTTGTTCATGGGCGGCGGTAGTCACTTACCATCAGGTGAGCCGCATGCTCGTTTGCCCCCTCTCCTATAAAAAAAAATGTACCTGATGGTAAGTAAATGCTGTGACCCATAGGCACATGCACCCTCATTTAATAAACAAAATACAGATGCACTCCTGCAGTGCTATTGTGTATCCCTGCTGGAGATCGTGAAATGAAATGAAATGAAATGAAATAAAATATTTATTTGCACCTTAACCAATAAGGTACATTGAAGATGATCACAGTGATTAAACATCCGCTTAATCAAGCATTATTATTAGCATGCAAATCTTTCAAACTATAAAATATCGAGATAATAATATTTAATAGTAGTGGTTATAACAAAATGTCAAAAGTTGTCAATAAATAGGAAATAATTAATAGACATTTCATAATTGGTCCATTAAATTTTTTTTAATCAAGTTCCTATTACCTATCGTAGTTCAAATATTCCTGTACAGTGTAACTGTTCACTGAGAAAGTTGTATAAATCTCTTTTAAATTGAATGAAAGGTAGGTCTCGATTTACTTGTGGTATCTTATTATATATTGTCATACACATCCAGTAGCAATTTTTATGTAATCTCGCACTCTTAGGAATTATAGCGGAAACCAACCTATTCCTATTTCTAGTTCTTCGTTTGTAGAAGTCTTTGGCTTGTGTAAAATAATTTATATTTTTCTTTACGAATTTTGCCGCGTCAAAAATATATAGACAAGGAAGTGTCAAAATGTTCAAAGATTTAAACAAAGACTGACATGGTTCGTCAGGTGCAGTATCACATATTGCTCTAACACACTTTTTTGTGCAATAAACGCCTTTTTTATGTCCGTGCTGTTACCCCATATGATCAGTCCGTATCGTAGAACTGATTCAGCGTAAGCAAAGTACGCAATAAGAGCTGTACTCCTTCCTGCTATTTTTGTCAATTTAGAAATTGCAAATGAGAAACGATTGATTTTGTTGCACACTTTTTTAATTTGTTGTTTCCAATCTAATTTTTGATCAATTTCTATACCCAAAAATTTCGTGGTTGGTTTCGTTTTGACATTTAACATATGGTTTCATTGTATTGCATAAATATATCGGTATCGATTACTAGCCAATCCCTCTTTATAATATAAAGTTTAAATCTTATTTTAGGTTAAAAGTTATTATCAAATTTAAAGAAAAAAACTTTCACAAACACAGTTGCCGAGAGGTTTCCACCGGCATACAATTACCTCCAGAATTTACACAATTGTATTCGCACTACTGGAAAATGATATGGAATGCTTCGTTTCCAGCGAAAATGGTCTCCGGTTCTCCACACTCACCATACGAAATAAAGCAGAATTTTACTACTATTTCACCGCAAGTATTTTTTTTTATAGGAGTGGAGGCAAACGAGCATACGGCTCACCTGATGGTAAGTGATTACCGCCGCCCATGAACAACTGCAACACCAGGGAAATCGCAGATGCGTTGCCGGTCTTTTAAAAAGGAGTACGCTCTCTTCTTGGAGGAGGATTCCGTGAGAGCGTGGTCTTTTCTGGCTCGAGCTGAATCATTCGTGCTAAAGCCACATAACAATGCGTATAACATGTGTTAACTCGTCTTCTTTTTGTAGCGTTTTAGTAAAACTTATAAATAAATCGACTTCCATCTTAGTCCTGAATTGTGACAACGCATCTACCTCTACATTTTCATTCTTAATCGAGAATAGTCTAGATTCGTATATGCCCACGGGCTATCAGGATCAGATTAAATCAAATAACTACTTTCTATTTTAACCCTGATGATATAAGTTATAACTATCGTCCCTTTTAAAATTTCGTATTTTAAAATTACGAATACACTTCTCATACAATGAGATACATAAATTTGTAAGCAACTTAGAATTTCAACTGACAATGTTTATCTTATCGAAGGAGCTCGTCAATGGTTGATAACTTTGATAAATTATATCGACTAATATAGATGTAAACAGTTTGTTTACTACAACTTTATCTAATTAGGTTATGGGTTAGTTGTGGGAAACATCTTTGCAAAATCGCAGGATAGCGAATCTATATAAATAAAACTATAGAGGTTTGTAGTTGTGCGCGCATCACGCACATAACTACTGGATAAATTTCAATTAGGTTTTCTAAGTTTTATTTCTTAGACACTTGACCTTTATCTACAAAAAAAATATCGCGATATCTTCATTTAATATAAATTTATTAAATTTTTAAGAAACAACGATTTTATAAGCACTACGGGTTCAGTGATGTGTTTTCTAGATATATCAAGCAACGCGGACGAAGTCGCAGATTCAGCTAGTGATATAATAAATCAATTATCCACACACTGGCAAAGAGAATATTTTAATGTTTAGATATGCAGTAAAACTTGACAGTAAAGGAAAACAAGCAACAGACAACGTACGGCCCACACTGGCCAGAAACATTATCCAAAAAATTTTAATCATCTATAAAAAAATTATGTTTCATTTTCATATTTTAAGACTATGTATTTTCAATAAGGCGTAATTTAAATTACAATGTCCTTTAGACCGAATTCCGGTCACGGCGGCCAGCCTCAACGGAGACTAACCATCGTCGTAGGACAGGATTATAATGCCATAGTGGTATGCACAGGCACAAGTGCACTCTCTATTCCCTCACTCTCCGTCCAATGGGACAGTAAACCGACATGCCCAGAGAGAGATCAGGCGAAGGACCAACGGTTTAACGTGCTTTCCGAGGCACATGAGTGAGACACCGACAACTTCCTGACTCCGGGCAGATACTGAGAATTTCTTTGTGGAAATGCTCAAATAACTGACTTTTTTGGCCCGACCCGGGATTCGAACCCGGAAACTCATGATAGACTAGACCAACGAGACAGACAAAGTCAAGTTTTAATTATATACTCCATTTGTAAAATTACATTTGCTTTTATGAATGGGCTACAGTGGCTGTTTACTTCAGTAAACTATAAATTAAAGTAACCTTACCTCTCTCCTGATGTATCTTGCCCTGACTGCCGGCCGCCACGTGGTACACATAGCGCCTGTCGAAGTCCGCCACGCTGTGGTCTATATGTACCTGCAAAAAGAAACTGTAAGTTGAAATTATACGGTAATACATTTAATTATTTAAAGAATTAAATAACGTCGACACCCCCCCCCCCCCCTGCGCAGATGGATTGACTGCGTTGAGACTGGCAGCCATGATCGAAACATGGTAACAAGGTTCAAAATACATACTTAATGACTTTTTTAATACAATTTTATCGCGTCGCGACTCCCTAGTAACCATAAGTGCTGCAAAGCACTTTAACGTCTTAACTACATAAACATTAAACGCAGATATAATAGAATGTAATAAAATCCCTTATGGACCTTGCAATCTACGCGGGAGGTCTAAGTTCTGCAGTGGACTTTGATAGGATGTAATAATGACGATGATGATGATGATGATTGTCGATTAGAAGTGTATTAAACCGACGAGCATGAATGCGTAGATACGGGGGTGACACTGAAAGTTCTTAGAAAATCAAAAACTAAACAAATTAAAACTCTTTGACGTGGTAGAGCCATGCTGCAGCTATATTAATCAGCTTAACACTGCTGTGTTTCGTAAGGTGAGTGTAGAGAACCGGAGACCCTATTTACTGGAAAAGAGGCATTCCATCTTAGTCCTCACGGTTGACAACGCATCTGCATTTTGATTCTCAAACAAGGATAGATGTAGATTTCTATGGGCCACAGCAACCATTTACCATCAGGTGGACTGTGTGCTCGTTTGTCACCATATCCTATAAAAAAAAACTAGCAAGTTATTAGTTTCATTATATTTTTTAAATACTGTCCATTTACATCAATACATCGCTGCATCCGATGCAACCACTGAGAAAAGCACATTGCCCACTCGTCCTTAGGAGTCTCTTCGACGGCATTTTGAAACCCCGCCACTGCTTCCTCGGCGTCCATAAAACGTTTTCCTCGCAGTTGTTCTTTTATTTTCGGACATAAATAAACATCGCAAGGTGGGGCTGTAGCGCGGGTGATCCAGTAATTCCAAGTCTAACGTCGCCAAGTAGTCGATTGTTTGCTTGGCGGTGTGCGACGAGGCATTGTTGTAGTGAATATCGTTTCTCCCGAACTTTTTCCAAGACTAGAGGCAAACAATTGTTATTGTATCACTCTGCAGTAACTGTTTTTCGATCCTCTAAAACAATTGTTGCGTAATACCTGTCCTTCAGAAGAACGAGGCCACCATCTTTTTACCCACGATTCGACCTCTCTTCACTTTAGTTGGCAACTCCTCGGAAGAAAACACCCAGACAGCAGACTGTCTCTTAGTTTCCAGAATCATAACAATAAATCCAGCTTTCGTCATCCGTAAGTATGTCGAATACAGCATTTGAATCACCTCCGTTTAATCTTTGAACCATTTCACGACACCAATCAACACGAAGGAGTTTTGGGCCTCTGTCAAATTATGAGGTATCCACCGGGCACAAAGCTTCCTGACCGTTAAATGTTCATGAAAGATTTTGTGCACTTCGATGCCTAAGCTTATCCAAATCTGCTGATAAGTCACTCTTTTGTCAGTCTCTATCATACGCCGCACAACACTGATGTTATCTTCAGCCGTCACCCTAGAAGGCCGCCCCTCACGCAGATCATCGGTGAGATTAGTGCGACCACGTTTAAACTCATTAAACCAGTTGTAAACAGTGGCACGAGATGGGGCTTCATCGTGAAAGGCCAATCGAAGTCTATCATAACTTTCTTGTTGACTTAAATGACATCGAAAGTCATAAAAAATCATTGCACGAAAATTTTCTCGCGTTAAATTCATACTGACGTGACACAGACAATTTTCAGTTTGCCACCAAATCGTAAACAAATTACAAATTAATAAAATGCATACACAATAATATTGGCAGAGTTCCATTTCCAAAATTTGAACGTATTTTATTATAATATCTTTTACAAGTAGCCAGTTCTAAAAACTTTCAGTGTCGCCCTTTTTTCCCAATTCCCAAGCCGGTGAGCGTCAAAGATGTTCACATATGCTATCGCTTATCTACCTATCAAGCTTGGAGATAATGGTAAATCGTCCAACTGGAAGCCCACTCACAGTCGCAAGAGAATTGTTAAGGGCTGTAAGGATGATGGCTATGCCTGGGATTCGAGACAGGACCCGCGGCATTGTAGTCAGAGACTCTGATCACTAAGCGATGAGGTCGTCAATATTTTACATCGGTTATAATTGAAAATTAAAAATTTTGTACAACCAACTTCAATATAAATTATTAATGATAACTCAAAAATTCCCATATAAATTTGATCAGACCTTGATCAAATTTATATGGGACCACATGAGAGGCACCAGCTTTCAAATAAAAAAAGAATCGTTGAAATCGGTTCGCCCAGAAAAAAAGTTATGGGGGTACACATAAAAAAACATACAGTCGAATTGAGTACCTTCTCCTTTTTGAAGTCGGTAGATAACATTTGAATACAGATTTACACCTCTAACACAAACAAAACAATATCCTTTACATTGGAAAATGAACCTTATATCAGTGTAGATAAATTCGATTTCCCATCAACACTGTAGTAGTTACCTTCGGCTCAGGTGGAGGCAGGAATTGTGCACAGCTGTCGTCGGTCTGGGACGACAAGTTGATCTTGTCCGTGCAGCTGCGGTCCGAAGTTTGCAATCTGCAAGATAACAACGGGATTATGGACCGGAGATTTGCCACGCAACAATGAATAACAAACAAAAAACACTTTGTTTGTAAACTTTAAGCACGAGAGTTCTTTTTGGAGGGAATCTGTAGTGTTGATTGTTTGCTTGCAATGTGTTGATTACTGCAAACAGTTACTTACTACACTAGGATTTTTGATTTGTTTCTTTTAAATCATGGCATGTCATTGTTGCTCTTTGCAATTTCACATATTTCTTTAGTTTAGTAAGTCTGATTGTGATACATTATGTATATTAATTAATTATGTAAGTATTGTAATAAGTACTTAATTTAGTTTTCTTGTGTATGTATTGAATGATTGAGCTTAATTGGTTAAACTATACTAGTGCAATGTATATTTATAAATCAAATAACAAAAACAGAAAATAAACATGATACTTGTCTACCCTACAATTTGTGTGACCCAAAAAAAATTAATAAACATTTCCTTGACGTTCCAGGCCAAAATTTTGCTTCTCAATCAGCTATCAACTACTTTGAAACCCTTAAATTTAGCTCTAAAACTTTTGAATTTAATGAAATAGATAGTAATACAGTTTTAAAAATTCTAGATGATCTGAAGTCGAATGCCATTGGGTTGGATGAAATTTCACTGGAAATGCTGTTATCCACTCTCCCATACTCTTTAAATGTTATTACGGTAATTATGAATAGTTCTCTGAGAGATAAGACAGTTCCCAAATAGTGGCAAACTGCGTTAATAAAGCCGATTCCTAAGACAGATAATATTACGAATTTTAAGGACCTGCGACCTATTAGCGTATTACCCTGTTTGTCTAAAATCCTAGAGAAAGCTGTATGTAATCAGTTAACTCAGTGTACAATCTAGCTTTAGGAAACGACATTGGCCGATGTAGTGAATAATGTTTTAAGTGCTCGGGATTCCGGTATGGTTACAATTCTAGTTCTTCTTGACTATTCCCGTGCATTTGACACGTTAAATAGGCAGTTGTTTTTCTCTAAATTAAACTACTATGGACTAAGCTCGAAAACTATAGATTGGTTTCGTAGCTATTTTAATGACCGTAGGCAAATTGTCGAAGTAACAGATGAAAACGGCAATAAAATAGCATCTGATTGCTGTGCTGTTACAAGAGGTGTTCCGCAGGGTTCAATACTTGGTCCCTTGATTTTTTCGCTGTATAGTGCTGATATCGTAAAACATATATTAAACTGTAGCTATCATATATATGCTGATGATATACAAGTGTATATTTCTTTCAAGCCAAATGAGAGTACTGTAGCCATACAAAAATTACATGAAGACTTAAATCGTATAGTCGACTGGTCTGAAGCAAATATATTAGTACTTAATCCTAATAAAACGAAATATATGCTACTTGGTACAAAAAAAAACAAATAAATAAAGTTTTGGCAAATCGTCCTTTAATTTCAATTATATTATATTGATCGAGTTACTGAGATTAGAAATTTAGGAATATTGACGAATGAGGCACTACACTTCGAAAAACATATAATAAATAACGTTAAAAATGTTTTTACAGATTAAAAGTGCTATACTAGATAAGGGGTGTATTAAAGACGGAAGTCCGTATCAGATTATGTGAGTCCTTGATACTGTCCAAATTCAATTATGCAGATGCAGTAATAGGTCCTAGACTTCTCAACCGTTCAAAGAAACTTATACAGCGCGTACAAGATGCCTGTGCCCGTTTCTGTTTTAAAATACCTCCCCATGCACATGTTACACCTTACATTAATAATGCGAAAATGCTTAAAATGGATTACCCCTGGCAGTTGCATTTTGCTACGCTGCGCTGTTGTTTGGTTGTATCAAATACAGGGCACCGTCTTATCTCTATGAAAAATTGCGCTGGGCTCGAGACAACGTCTTAACAAATGTAGTGACAAGAGCTTCGGCGTACGGGTTGCTTCTGCCTCAACACCGCTCCGCTGCGTTTCGAGACAGTTTTCGATATGCAGCAACCAAGTGTTGGAACAATTTGCCGCCGCCGTTCCGTAATACGCAATCGATACATAGCTTCCGTCAAAGATTTAAATTGTTCCTCTTAGATCAGCAATCTCAAAGTTAAGTAGTGCAGATATTTGATAGTATGTAATTTTATAAATAATGTATGAGCGTGTATATGTGTAATTATGTGTGCTTGTTTATATTTATGTATATATATGTACATACATATATATATATATATATATATATATATATATATATATATATATATATATATGTATATGTGTGTATGTTGGAATAGGTATATATTATTTATTGAAATTATGTATTGAAGCGGTGTAATGCAGCTGGTTTGTGTATTTGCTTGTAACTTAAACTTAATTACGTTCCTGAGAGAATTTCAATGCAACCTCTTACAGTATGAAGAATATTTTATACGAATTATGACAATATTACAAGAAATAAATGTTTGTTATTATATTTGGTTTAACACAACAGAACTGCCCTCTGCACATAAAGAATATATAATACGAGGGCTGCACTAAAAGTATTGGAATGGAATATTTCCACTGTTCCTGTCATATTAAAATCTTTTTAATTGAAAACTCCTTGGTTTTAAAAATCGAATACCATTTATTTATTTAAAAAAAGATTCTCGGTCTTGTCACAAGGTTTTGTCAAACTTGTTTAGTCGTTGAGAAAATGGAATTGACTCGAAAAAATTCAAGAGCGATGATTTATTATGACTTTCGAAGTGGTTTAACACAAAAACAGTGTGTAGACCGGATAATTTCTGCATTTGATGATGAAGCCCCATCCAAAACCACAATTTATCGCTGGTTTACTGAATTTCAACGTGGACGTGTCAAGCTCAGTGATGATCCCCGTCAAGGTCGTCCAAAAACTGCAGTCACCCAAGAAAACGTTGATGCTGTGCGTAAGCTGATTGAGGAAGATCGACATGTGACATACCGCGAAATTCAGGCAACTTTAGACATTGGCATGAGTCAAATACATAATCTTGCATGAACAATTAGGTGTAAAAAAGTTGTTTTCCCGATGGATACCGCAATCGCTCTGTGAAGAGCAAAAAGCGGCTCGCGTTACTTGGTGCGTCAGAACTCTCGAAAGATTCCACGCAGGATCCTCAAATGATGTATACAACATCGTATCAGGAGACGAATCCTGGATATACGCGTACGAACCCGAAACAAAAAACTAGTCACGAGTTTGGGTGTTCGAAAATGAGTTAAAGCCAACGAAAATTGTTCGTTCACGGAATGTTGGAAAAAAAATGGTGGCCACGTTTGTCTCCAAAACCGGCCATGTTACGACTATTCCTCTTGAGGGACAAAGAACGGTTATTGCAGAATGGTATGCTAGCATTTGTTTGCCACAGGTCGTTTCTGAACTCCGTAAAGAGAACTGCAACCGCCGCATCATTCTCCATCACGACAATGCGAGTTCTCACACCGCACACAGAACAAAAGAGTTTTTAGAGCAAGAAAACATAGAATTATTAGACCATCCGCAGTACAGCCCCGACCTAAGCCCTAATGATTTCTATACTTTCCCTAAAATAAAGAATAGATTGCGTGGACAGAGATTTTCATCACCTGAAGAAGCTGTGGACGCCTACAAAACGGCCAATTTGGAGACCCCAACTTCCGAATGGAATGGTTGCTTCAATGATTGGTTCCATCGTATGGAAAAATGTGTCAAATTTCGCGGAGAATACTTCGAAAAGCAATAAATACATTTTTAAATAGTAATGTTGTATCACTTTCTTGATTCCCGAAATTTTCAGTGCCGCCCTCGTATACGTATATATTTTTTTCTTTAATACTTATTTGTGGATTTTTATTTTAAATATATAAGGGTGCCACTGAAAATCAGGGTTGGGGTGCTGTACTTCTGATACATTCCAACATATCCTGAGTGGCTTTCCTTTTTGGAACAGAGCAACATTAACGGGTGGATTATCTTTGTAATACACCTTATGCATTACTCCTTATTCTCTAGTTCATTATTATTATTATTATTTGGTGTCTATAAAGTTTCTCATCTGGTTCGGCAATATAAATATATAATTGTAAATAAACATGGTAAACGTACATAAATATCAATAAAATAAAATAAATACATAAAAAATACATTAATATATAAAAACCCAACCAGATGAAAGCCCTCGGCAGGGGAGAACAAACGGCCGAGGGTTAGGGCGAAAGGGAAAGAAACCGTCGGACGATGCGGGCGGTATCGAGGAGCACCGCCTTCTGCATTTGAGCTTAGAGCGGTCCGTCACGGAGTCCCAGTCGCCTCAGATGACCCGAGAGGCTGACTGGGATTAACCCGTTCGCAGAGACGACTACAGGTATAATTTCGGCCGGCAATCCACCCCACGTCGGTCACCTCGCGAGCCAGGTCCAGATATTTTGTTAGCTTATCTGTTTCGGCTTTCACGAGGTTCTCGTCATAAGTAATGGTAATATCGACCAAAAATATATTTGACTGTGCCCGGTCCATCAGCACAATATCAGGCTTATTCGCAAGAATAGTCCTGTCTGTGATGATGGCCCGGTCCCAGTAGAGCCTGGCGCGGTCATTTTCGAGCACGGCTTCCGGCAAGTACTTATAATACGGCAGTTTCCGATCCACGAGGCCGTATTTCAGAGCGAGCTCCTGGTGTAGAATCCTGGCTACTAAGTTGTGCCTGTGGAAATACTCAGAGTTAGAAAGCGCCGAACAACCGGCGATGACATGCCTAAGTGACTCACCGTGATGGCGACAAGCTCGACAGATGTCGACGGTGCCATCCTTTAGGATTTATCTCCGATAATTGTTGGTCTTAATATTTATTACTATTATTATTATTTTATATTATTGTTTGCTTTTTTTTTTTTGTTTAATTTTACCATATCTATAAACAAGGAGTTAATGTCTTGTTTCATGATTTCTATGTATAATTTTTTTTTTCTGTTTGTATGACTACTTAAATGTTATGTGTTTTATGTAATCCGCTTGAGTGTGCTGCATGTGCCAAATAAAATCTGTTTCTTTCGTTCAAAAATGTGTATAATGAACGTTATGAACAGTTTTAAAACACTTCTATACAGTTCTACGTCCTATCTCTACATAGTACAAAACAAAGTCAATTCCTGCCATCTGTACGCTTCATCAATATCATCGTCATTATTTTTTTTTTTATTACGGCGGATTTAGATGCGGTTTTCATCAATAGACAGAATGATTCAAGAGAAAGGTTTACATGTATAATACATGCATATTATATATTATATAATTCTTCTGTTCGTGTTCAGCGTGCTACGTGCTCAGCGGTGAAGGAAAACATCGTGAGTAAACCTGCATGTCTGAGAAATAAGGAAAAAAAAATATTTCGAAGAAATGTGAATTTCGCCAACATGCATTGGGGCAGCGCGGCGGACATTTTCTTGCCCTAAATCCCTCTCAGAAATGAGAGGAGGCCTGTGCCCAGCAGTGGGACGTAAATAGACTGCAACTTTACTTTTACTTTACTGTTCGTGTGTATGTCACTGAACTACTCCTAAACGGCTGGAGCGATTTTGATGTAATTTTGTGTGTTTTTTGAACCGGTAAGTGGTGTTGTGGTCGAGATCCAAAATTCAACCATGCGAAGCCGAGGCGAATCTCTAGTAGATTATAAATACCAGATTTAAAAATGATTTAAAATCTAATTCTAGTGCTATAAAACCTAACCGACAGTTTGATCTGTGGAAAGAACCGGAAGGTCAGTAGTTAATTGGCCCTTGGTTTTTTAAATGCATAAAATTTAGACTATTTACACCTTGACTAAGTAAGTAGTCTTAATAAGCATCATTAATGGCACAAGCTGACAAGGGCTTTGTGAACCGAAAGTGTAATTTTAAGCTATTAATAAATGAATGCATAAGTACTCCGTTGACTTTTTAAATTCACCTAAAGATAGTAGTTACAAGAACTCGACAAATATTTAAATAGGACCATTACATTCAGTCAAGAAACAGAAACAGACACTTTTTTATTCGATATAGAAGATTATAAATATTACTTATTGAAAGTCACTCTTTTGTTTAATTACCACTGGTTCGAAAATAAACCTCTGTCCTGGGTTTTTTTTTTGCTGGTTTTAAAATATCAGCTTACAATCATGTATGTTACACAATTAAGAACACAAAACAAATTAGAAATAGCTTGGTAGCGATCACCTCATTCCCAGGGGTTATTAAATTCCTTAATATTATAATAACCCTTTTTATACAAACTTTGTTTAATAACGTTTTTGAAAGAGCAATGGCAGAAAAATAGTTGACAAAAATGATCGCGTCCAGAAATAAGTTATATATAAAATGAGTTTTATTATTTTTCTATGATTTTTCAAATAAAAATGTATTTTAATTGAAGCCACAGAAAAAAGCAAACATTTATGGGAATATCAAATGACTTAAATCATTTTACTCTATTCAAGTGTTGCAATTTAGTATATTCATATTATTTTCGTATATACTTTGTAAGACTACCAACACAACACACAAAATATTTTTATATTAAATTATTATTAGTAATAATAATAACTATACTATCAGTAATAATAAAAATAAAGGTGATATGGTTGAGAACAAGTCTCTTACAAAGAACTTCCTACAATAATACATTGTCACAATCATAGCACTATGTAACAATTCCATTTAATGTTATGGCAACACTAGCTAAAACAAAATGTCACTGTTTTTTTACTGGCTTTACGGCTGTGGGTTCTAGCCCTTCTGAGAATGTCACTATGACACAAAGGCCCTGGAGCCATGACAGAAATATACATTTATAGTATGCAAATATATAATAGAGATACAATAATCTAAAAACTCTCAATTATGTATTATGTAGCTAACATCAAACAACCACAGGAAGCATAACTTTTTCCAAGTGACATAAGACATAACCTAAAAAGGTTCAAATCTAAATATCTTTTTTTTGACGCCTTGTCAGGACAAAATTCTTTGACAGAGTTATTACGGGACATTAGCTTAGCATTTTAAGATATTTTTGATATATAGACGCTACCATTCCTTCTCAACTAATTTTATGTATGAAAGTCTGCCATTGTTCTTTGAACAGGTCAAATTTTATATATTTTCTGGGATTTTGTTGTGTAAAAGCGTATACATCGCCCCAAGAATGAATTACTAACTCGGTGGAGCCGAGTTACTGGTACTACGTACTGGTACGATACGCAGTATTCTAAAACAGATGTTACTACTATATATACTGTTATATATTTTCTAACACCAAAATGCATTATAGTAGAGATATAGTGCAAAAATGTTGCGTATAAGCGCCTAAAGCAAATTTACACTAAACAATAACAAAGCACCGAGCAGGTGATAAAGCATTAATCAAAACAGTAACAAGTTAGAATATAAGTGAAACTAAAGAACAAACAAATGTAAGCTTTATCATGTAGTATTAAGGTATTTTTTTTTAAATTTTGAATTATAAAGTACAAGCAGATGATAACTTCGAGCCGTGATAATAAAGAATATATCAGAATAACAACAATTTAAGAAAATGTAACAAAATTGCAAGCACACACAAATAAAAGTACGCTTTATTATGTGGTAGTAGGGTATAAACTCGCCTGTTCCTCGGGTCACAGCAGGGGTAGAGCGGGCGCAGTACGGTGAGCAGCACGGAGTCGTACTGGCAGTCGTTCAGCAACGACATCGCCTCCGAAACAGACTTCACGCCCTCTAACGACCGGTTGTTTATCTGTTACCCATTGAATACAAACAAATCGATTTTTAAAAAAGAAGTATTAAAAATGGGGGTAATCAGACTTTACATTTTTAATACATTCAGCTTCTCATTATTAATTTTTGGTACGATCTACGCAGACTTTTCTACTGTTCGAACTATTAGTTAAGATATATAATTAATGTGTTTCGTATGGTGAGTGTAGAGAACCGGAGACACTTTTTACTGGCAAAGAGGCATTCCATCTTATTCCTCACGGGTGACAACGCATCTGCATCTTGAGTCTTTTTTGATGATAGATGTAGATGTCTATGGGTTACAGTAACCACTTACCATCAGGTGGACTGTGTGCTCGTTTATCACCCTATCCTATAAAAAAAAATTCAATATAATCGTTTCAAATTTGTACTTGAAAAGTGACGTATTTTCCGTTACAACCACAAATAGGAACAAAATTCCAACTCACACTGACGACTCGGTCACCGACGAATATGTTGCCTTCCTTGGCCGCGGCACTACCGCACGCTATTTTGCTTACGAAAATACCTGCGGACAAAAAATGGTTAAGTCAGAAATGTTAATCTATATTAGTCCTCACGGCTGACAACGCATCTGCATTTTAATTCGCAAACGGAGATAGATGTAGATGTCTATGGGCCACAGCAACCACTTACCATCATCAGGTGGACTGTGTGCTCGTTTGTCACCTTAATTCTATAAAAAAAAAATATATGAATTTTATTAAAAGAATTAATATTAACACGTGGTAGAGTCACGCTGTAGCTATATTATGGTTGCAACACGAATGAATCAGCTCAACCGGGGAACGACCACGCTCTTACAGAATACCAGAGTGAAATAGTAAACTTAATGCAGCATTAAGCTGTGTTATATTTCGTATGGTGAGTGTAGAGAACCCATGATCGTCTTTACTAGTAATGCCTCCCTCGATCTTAGTCTTCAGGGGTGCATCGCATCTAAATTTTGATTCTTAATCGGGGATAGATGTATATGTATATATTGTACTGCATGCTCGTTTGTCAATTTTGTTCTAGACAAAAATGCTGTTTAACGGGTGAATTCCTCATCTACAACTGTATTATAATACTTACATAGCAGGCATGATTTGTCACAGTCTCCATTTTGAACAAGCTGATTAACATGTTGTATAGAAGACAAAGAAAATCAGACGAGAAAAATAATATGAATGAAGAAAGAGTTACAAAGTAAATACATGCTGCAGAACTGAGAAGAAGAGGGCAAGGAACGCCCAAGACAAAAGTTTATCGACACCATTGGTGATATATTAAAAAAGGGCCACATAACAAACTCCTATTGCACGATAATGTCTCTAGAAGTTTGCAGAGACGCGCTACCCCGCGTCCTGCCACCAGTCGCATCATCTATCATAAAATACGACCGCACTGCACCAATAATAAAAATCAGTCCAAATAAATCGTTGGTATGTTTTATAATATTATACTTAGCTATCTGAAATCGTAATCTTTATCTTGATGAATAAATGCTTTCTTGATCTTGAAAATTTGAGTAACATATCGTGGTATTTTTTTTAATTTGGTTTTTCTTAAATACTTGGTCGGCGATTATTAAGACCTACTAAATTTCACCATATGCCTTATTATGCCCCTTTTCATGTGTACTTTTTTATTTTATTATGAGTTTTATATCACTTTTAAAGTGTTATAAATGCAAATAAATCGTACGCTTTTATTATTAAACTAATGTAGTAGTCAGAAAAAAAACCTGGTTTCAGCTGTCGAAACAGTGCAAAGAGAAAGTGTGTCGAAGAATGGATCACACCAACATTTGATAATTAAGCCTATATACCTTTAAAGCTATGTTTATGAAAATAACAATAGTTTTTTGTTTCATCCAAATTGGTGAAGAAATACAAAAGTTATAACGTTTTGAAGTTTCGCTAATTTTAAAATTTTTTACCCGCTCGTTCACTGTGACTTGACGTCTTAATTCAACAGATCGCTCTGTTGAATGTTGAATGAAAGAAACGCGCAGTAGGTATTTGCTTAAGTTCAGTACTAACCGCGCGCTCGGAAATATATGGTCGTTTACTGGTTTACATATATATCTATCGGTGTATATATGTAAACAAACAATAATGAAACTTACATCAAAACGACCTTCACAACAATAAATACTACTGGTGGCTTTGAGAGGATCTGCTCTTCTTATCGCGTTCAACCACTTTTTGTTAATATCATCCTTTTTCGGGACATTAAAAAACAGCTTGTTAGGTGTTTTTTTTTTTCTTGAATTTATACACATAGGTACAATGCAATACTTTCTGGTCATTTTAATGTCTAGAAAATACACGCACCTCGAAACGAAACGAGTAGCGGACTGACGGGAACACGGAACATATTATATAACCCTAAAGGGTGGGAAGGCGACCGACTGAGCACCGTGTCGAACTGTGATGTTACATTGCGGTGCAGAGCAAAGCGGTGGCCCGTACCGTAAAACACCACTTTACTCATCAATATTTTAAGTTATTTTTAAAGGTAAAAAAAAAACCGGTAAATTCGTATTTTTTTTTTCTATTTTTTTGATACCCTTAACAAAATTGGGTGGTACCCATTAAGGCTTTGACATTAGAAGATATTCAATTATGTGCAAATTATTGGTCCTACGCTTAAGCTCTCTCGGACCGTGTCGGATTGCGATTCGATGATTGTAAGGGAATAGAGAGTACACCTGTGCTTGCGCATACGTTCGGATACTATAATTCTGTACTGTGCCGATGGGCTAGTCTCCGTTGAGACTGGCCGCTGTGACAGAAATTTCGTTGGGAAGACATTCAATCCAACAATAAACCCAATTCTCAACTCAACCTAACACTCAACTAAACTCGAGATACAACCGACGCACTAATCATGAGGAGTGTTTTATTTTTTTAGTTTGATTATCATTATACTAATGACTTTAAGCATTGTTAGTGTGAGTGTACGTGTGTGCGTGTGTGTGTGTGCGTGAACTGACCGTGGTGCAGCGCGACGCCGCCGGCGAGGCGCACGAGGCGGCGCAGGTAGCGCGCGCGCTGCAGACGCAGCGGCGCCCTGTGAGTGTACGTGTGTGCGTGTGCGTGTGTGCGTGCACTGACCGTGGTGCAGCGCGACGCCGCCGGCGAGGCGCACGAGGCGGCGCAGGTAGCGCGCGCGCTGCAGACGCAGCGGCGCCCTGTGAGTGTACGTGTGTGCGTGTGCGTGTGTGCGTGCACTGACCGTGGTGCAGCGCGACGCCGCCGGCGAGGCGCACGAGGCGGCGCAGGTAGCGCGCGCGCTGCAGACGCAGCGGCGCCCTGTGAGTGTACGTGTGTGCGTGTGCGTGTGTGCGTGCACTGACCGTGGTGCAGCGCGACGCCGCCGGCGAGGCGCACGAGGCGGCGCAGGTAGCGCGCGCGCTGCAGACGCAGCGGCGCCCTGTGAGTGTACGTGTGTGCGTGTGCGTGTGTGCGTGCACTGACCGTGGTGCAGCGCGACGCCGCCGGCGAGGCGCACGAGGCGGCGCAGGTAGCGCGCGCGCTGCAGACGCAGCGGCGCCCTGTGAGTGTACGTGTGTGCGTGTGCGTGTGTGCGTGCACTGACCGTGGTGCAGCGCGACGCCGCCGGCGAGGCGCACGAGGGGGCGCAGGTAGCGCGCGCGCTGCAGACGCAGCGGCGCCCTGTGAGTGTACGTGTGTGCGTGTGCGTGTGTGCGTGCACTGACCGTGGTGCAGCGCGACGCCGCCGGCGAGGCGCACGAGGCGGCGCAGGTAGCGCGCGCGCTGCAGACGCAGCGGCGCCCTGTGAGTGTACGTGTGTGCGTGTGCGTGTGTGCGTGCACTGACCGTGGTGCAGCGCGACGCCGCCGGCGAGGCGCACGAGGCGGCGCAGGTAGCGCGCGCGCTGCAGACGCAGCGGCGCCCTGTGAGTGTACGTGTGTGCGTGTGCGTGTGTGCGTGCACTGACCGTGGTGCAGCGCGACGCCGCCGGCGAGGCGCACGAGGGGGCGCAGGTAGCGCGCGCGCTGCAGACGCAGCGGCGCCCTGTGAGTGTACGTGTGTGCGTGTGCGTGTGTGCGTGCACTGACCGTGGTGCAGCGCGACGCCGCCGGCGAGGCGCACGAGGCGGCGCAGGTAGCGCGCGCGCTGCAGACGCAGCGGCGCCCTGTGAGTGTACGTGTGTGCGTGTGCGTGTGTGCGTGCACTGACCGTGGTGCAGCGCGACGCCGCCGGCGAGGCGCACGAGGCGGCGCAGGTAGCGCGCGCGCTGCAGACGCAGCGGCGCCCTGTGAGTGTACGTGTGTGCGTGTGCGTGTGTGCGTGCACTGACCGTGGTGCAGCGCGACGCCGCCGGCGAGGCGCACGAGGCGGCGCAGGTAGCGCGCGCGCTGCAGACGCAGCGGCGCCCTGTGAGTGTACGTGTGTGCGTGTGCGTGTGTGCGTGCACTGACCGTGGTGCAGCGCGACGCCGCCGGCGAGGCGCACGAGGCGGCGCAGGTAGCGCGCGCGCTGCAGACGCAGCGGCGCCCTGTGAGTGTACGTGTGTGCGTGTGCGTGTGTGCGTGCACTGACCGTGGTGCAGCGCGACGCCGCCGGCGAGGCGCACGAGGCGGCGCAGGTAGCGCGCGCGCTGCAGACGCAGCGGCGCCCTGTGAGTGTACGTGTGTGCGTGTGCGTGTGTGCGTGCACTGACCGTGGTGCAGCGCGACGCCGCCGGCGAGGCGCACGAGGCGGCGCAGGTAGCGCGCGCGCTGCAGACGCAGCGGCGCCCTGTGAGTGTACGTGTGTGCGTGTGCGTGTGTGCGTGCACTGACCGTGGTGCAGCGCGACGCCGCCGGCGAGGCGCACGAGGCGGCGCAGGTAGCGCGCGCGCTGCAGACGCAGCGGCGCCCTGTGAGTGTACGTGTGTGCGTGTGCGTGTGTGCGTGCACTGACCGTGGTGCAGCGCGACGCCGCCGGCGAGGCGCACGAGGCGGCGCAGGTAGCGCGCGCGCTGCAGACGCAGCGGCGCCCTGTGAGTGTACGTGTGTGCGTGTGCGTGTGTGCGTGCACTGACCGTGGTGCAGCGCGACGCCGCCGGCGAGGCGCACGAGGCGGCGCAGGTAGCGCGCGCGCTGCAGACGCAGCGGCGCCCTGTGAGTGTACGTGTGTGCGTGTGCGTGTGTGCGTGCACTGACCGTGGTGCAGCGCGACGCCGCCGGCGAGGCGCACGAGGCGGCGCAGGTAGCGCGCGCGCTGCAGACGCAGCGGCGCCCTGTGAGTGTACGTGTGTGCGTGTGCGTGTGTGCGTGCACTGACCGTGGTGCAGCGCGACGCCGCCGGCGAGGCGCACGAGGCGGCGCAGGTAGCGCGCGCGCTGCAGACGCAGCGGCGCCCTGTGAGTGTACGTGTGTGCGTGTGCGTGTGTGCGTGCACTGACCGTGGTGCAGCGCGACGCCGCCGGCGAGGCGCACGAGGCGGCGCAGGTAGCGCGCGCGCTGCAGACGCAGCGGCGCCCTGTGAGTGTACGTGTGTGCGTGTGCGTGTGTGCGTGCACTGACCGTGGTGCAGCGCGACGCCGCCGGCGAGGCGCACGAGGCGGCGCAGGTAGCGCGCGCGCTGCAGACGCAGCGGCGCCCTGTGAGTGTACGTGTGTGCGTGTGCGTGTGTGCGTGCACTGACCGTGGTGCAGCGCGACGCCGCCGGCGAGGCGCACGAGGCGGCGCAGGTAGCGCGCGCGCTGCAGACGCAGCGGCGCCGCGCCGCACGCCAGCGCGCCGCGCAGCGCCGCCGCGCACGCCGCGCCGCGCGCCCACGCAGACGCTCCACACGCCTCCGCCACACGGTCCAGCACCCTGCGGACAATACTCACTTTTCAATATACCTTTTTACTGGAAACGAGGCATCCCATCTTAGTCCTTGTAATGTCTGCTATCTTCTCTAATCATTGTAGTGTAACACAGGCTCGGCACGCACTTAACTAAACACTTCCACTCTCGCCCGAGGCTCTCGTGTAACTGATGCGGTGCGCTCGAGACAGTGACTTATATATAAATGTATGTTTGTGTATTTGTGCATGGTAAATTATTAGTAAATAAAACAAATAACAATATTTACTGTATACTACATATATGCAAACACTACAGTCCTCATGAGTGACAACGAATTTTCATATTGATTCTTAATCGAGGATACATGTAGATGTGTATGGTGATGTAAAAAGATAAGCATAAAAAAATTACTGCTAATAATTTGCTGCTCCAAAGCAGAAACTATCTTATTGATCTTAAATAACAGTGATCAGCGAAACGAAAAATTTTAGCCATGTCTCGTACTACCTATATATCAATAAAAACTAAGAATAAAAATAGACCAAGAACCGAGCCCCGGAGTGGCATAAAACCCCACGTTTAGAGAATTAAATTGTCAATATACCTGACCCTATTCTTGTCGTGCGCATATAATTACGGTACTTACTTGATCTTCCCGTCAGCGATGGAACCCTTTTTCACAGATATAACGTAGACACTGGTATCATTGGGATAATAGGGTTCTTCACGACCGCCGGCCAATTCAAAGCCAAGTTCGCCATCCTTGCCAAGACCGCTCAGCTCCACCTCGATTATTTCCCATTCGAAATCCTATAACAATAGAATTATTTAAAATATATAAAGGCAGCGCATAAAATACGAACAAACAATTTTTTTTTATATTAGTTTTAAGTGTTCAGTGTGCCCAAAGCGATAAGCGCTGTATTCGTATTGGCGTAACGATCACGTAAAACCTAATTTCTCTTCTCTTTTATTCCTAACATAATGAATGCTGTTAATAAAAATTGTATGAAACAGCAATTATTTTGACATGCATTTGATGAAAAGATAATTTGTGTGAGAATTTAGACATGCATAATATGAGTTTTCAATTACAGTAAACGAGTATTTGAAGGTCAATTCAATTCAAAAAGTCTTCTTTTATATTTATTATTAATATTTTTATTTAATATATTTTTTTTAAAGAGCCTCCTTTTAATTTTATAAAACTAAATAGTGACATACAAACTTACGGTCCACCTCCACTACCTGATAGTAATTGGCTACAACAAGACGCAGTCCATGGACATGGACATGCAGCCAACTTCAAACCAAGAGGGCATGGTGCGTTCTCGCCTCTCAGAGGTATGCTGGAATGCCCCTCACAGGCTCACAGCCTGTTATTATACTGGCGTTCTATGGCCTTCAGACCGGAACACATGAGTTCAGGCTCAGCTACTTGGCAGCAGAAATAGGTTAAAGTGTGGAACATGCCCCGACGGACTCCAAGGTTGAAAAAGAGTCCTTCTACCATCTTGTTTCATAATTTTACTAGGGATCCGCCCCGGTTTCACACAGTGATTTCTGGATCTCAACAACAGCGCCACCTACCGGGTCCAATTTTCGGAATAACTTATCGTGTGATACACATAGTTTCATTAAAATTGATCTAGCCGTTTAGGAGGAGTCCAGTCACGTGTATGTGGCGGTGAATGGATAGAAGAATTATCTCTATATACATAAAAAATAAAAATCAATTGCTTTCCGTTAGTCTCGCAAAAAGCCATCTACTTTTTTGAATCGACAAAAAATCGAATCACGCCCAAACTTTGGTTTCAAGACTTGACGCCGGAGGGCGCTCGGCTCGATACGGCGCGTTCATAACCGGTTAGACGTGTGGGTGGTAACGGGAGTTTTGTTGGCAGCGGCCCGCGTCCGGAGATTGCAGTCAGTTAGTTCCTACCGGCGGCGGGGTCGAGTCGAACGGATGCTAGAATACGTGCTGTCGAGAGCACGTCGTGAAGTCGCCCGGGAAACCTCCATTTTGAGAGTCGGTTTTGTTAGCAAATTGTTGCCACGACGAGGGTTTTTTGTTAAGTCTAGAATTAGAAGCCGGGCTAACAAATTGTTAGGAAGTTAACATTGATTGCGATCAACGTCGGAATTGTGCTAGAAATAATTGTTGCCACGCGAAATGGAAGTGACCTTTGATCCGAACATTCGGTATTCGTGTTGTGTGTTACGCTTTATAATAAACGAGTGTTAGTGGCGTCTGGAAATTAGTTAATTGTTCGGTATAGTTAATAGACTGACAGAGTGAAGAAGAAAGAAAGTGACTGTGGGTGACGCCGCTGGAGATTACCACAATTTGGAGCGGTGCCGAAGTCCGGGCTGCAAACAACACCACAAAAACAGCACTATACTCAACACATACACACCTCCGGCCTGACCGAGCCCTGAGACAGCAGTTGCCTCATATACAGGTAAATAATCTCTATTTGACCAGCCTCCCCATTAAATTGCAGTAGGATAAAACATTTTCCATATAGCTTAGTATTATAGGAAATTCTTCCATATGGCCATTAGCCCCGTCCCTCTGCTGCCCGTCGATGGGATTACTCATGGGCCCTAATCCCGTCTAGCTTTGTTGGGGCAGCTAGGGGCGTGTACAGAATGAATGAAAGCATGAAAAAAATGAAGAATGGCTCAATCGATTTTGACGACATTTTTTTGTGTATTTGATGCACCCAGCCTGGATGGTTAAAAGACTCAATTGGACCCGATAGGTGGCGCTGTTGTCGACATCTAGAAATCAACTATGCGAAGCTGGGGCTGATAGCTATTATAATATATAAAAAATATTATAATCTGTTCGCTTAGACACGGTCGCGCCGCATTTTGTCAATGGCGCCGCCGCGATATCAAAGGTCGCCGCGTACGGCGTACACTCGAAGGAGAATTTGGCATTTTAAAACGAAGCACCGTAGTGAAATGTTCTTTGCTACCTAACTTGTGTTTATTATTTATATTCGTATTTTGCTATTTTATGCTGGAATTCTGTGAGAGCGTGGTCCTTCACCGGTCGAGCCGACCCATTTGTGCTACAACTATACTATTAATATAGCTGGAGCCCATGCTGGTAGAGCCATCTCTACCACGTATACATTACGGATAGATATTCTAGTTGCGGTTTAGGCAGAAAGGAGATGAACTTTGTTCCATACAAGCTTGGTCCCAGCGTGCACAAAGTTCAAATGTCTTATTTTGAAGATTTAAGCAAGTGCTACTTATGTCAAAAAATCATATTTTTGCGAGACCTGGGGTTTTGTTTTTATTTTGTGTGAATGTTTTACGGTTTGTAGGTTATGTAGTAAAAACACTCGTTCTTGTGAATTTTTTTGAATAAATTGAAAACGACACAAAAAATGCAATTTTATTTTTATTATTAAGTAAAGTTGTTACGGCCTACGGTTGCTCCCTTAAAGGATCCAATCCCCTGGGGCCCATCAGCAGAAGACTTCCCGAGCAAACGTAGGTCGGGCCTCCTAAGGCCACGTGGAATCTCTCTAATTACACTAAAATATATGGGGGAGCGTTATACTACGGCCAGTCGACCGGAAGGAATTTGGCGGAGTTCACTTACCTCTATCCAAGGCGACTGGTCCCTCCGGAGTCGGTCAGGTCGCATGTGGTTGTGTAGTGCAAGGGAAAGAATGGTGATGTGGTGTGTATCTGGGTGTGACTGATGGTGATTGAACCTAGACCTTAGCCGTCGGCAGCAGCCCGAGCGTCGACACCGCTCCAACTTGAGGGGGCCTTTCGAGGTTATCCACAGTCACTTTCTTGGTTCACCACGATGACAGTCACTTAACTCTATCGTACGATTAACTAGCTTACAGAAGCCACTAACTATCGCGGGGTATAAGGTTACCGCACAAAACACGCCCGGAGTTTCTAGGTCAAAGGTCACTACCGTTTCGCGTGGCAACAGTTCTAAATACCGAGGCCGCACTAGCTTATATTGCCGAATGCACTTATACAGATTCTGAGTCGGACCCAATAAGTCCCGGGAAAGGCTATCCAAACAGGGAATGCGCGTTATAATTCCTAGACAGGATATTTACTAGACGCCCTAACTATTCCGCGGTTCCCGCACAAATTAAAGGCGTGCAAACATTAGCACATCTGGCAGATGACTGACTCGCTTGCGACCCGCGCGCCACTGTGACGCTCGGAAGAACTTCAGACCGGAATCGCGCCGAGCCGAGTGACATCTGGTGTCGATTCCGACAACAGAGTTTTGCGCGAACAAACCCCCGTCCCGGACATAAGGATTTAGGTCCGCGAGCAAACCGGTCAGCGGGACAAGGTCGAGACTGCAAGTTGCAAGACCGAATCTACAACCAAACTAGGCCACCTTAGGCAATCTATTAGGTCTTGCAACCCTAATCAACGCCTCAAAGATATCCCTAATGTGGCAAGCCGGAGGGTCAGCCTCCACTGGATGCCCCTCCTGGGCATCGCAGCACTTTAATAAGTCCTGTACTGGACAGAAGTCCGACGACCTCTTTCAAACACCATCTGTGCCCCTATGATTAGTTCCGCAATCCGACCGGATCAGCTCTGCAAACAGTGACGCGACACGAAGCGGCCTCGAGCGGCCTCCTAAGCTTCAGAGCACCCACAAATTCCACATGAACGTTGTCTGTGGAGAGCCGAACGAAACGCACAGATAGTCCCTAGTATGAATTTTCAACAAGTAGGCCTAGCCAGGCCACCCACCATATTATCATTTACTAAAATAGTGCGGCAGCTGATTTCAATCTGATAATCTCCAAAACTAGCTAGCCTGTTAGACAAGTAGTCCTATGCTCATATTTCAACTAATTTTTCAAAAGCATCAATGTTCAACTACAGAATTAATTCAACCAAATTAATCACCGATGCGCATAGGTCAACTTGCAAATTAAACAAAACAATAACGTAAGGGACAGCCCTACTTCTTAGAAAACAAAAATGATTAAACACTATCATAAACATAAACATAATTTTTCAAATAGTGCGCCATTCCATTTCAGATGAATTCAAATTTTCCTTTCAGCAAACAAACGCAACAATCAAATACAGTGATTAAATATATGTACAAAACACATGCAGTAGCATTTAAAGGAGTAGATTAAATTCAATTCTTTTAATTTAAACCGCTACAAATAGGAGAATTTCGCGGAAAGCCCAAAGCAATTTTTAATTTTAATTCAAGTATTTTTTTTGACTAAGTGCTCGACCAAACCAAATCTAATACCCCTTGACAGCGTGATTCAACGCTACAGGGGGGCCCTAATCTTCCCACCACCAAGGGGAGGCCACATGGCGTGAACCCGAGATAAATAGAGCACAACCTTTAACAGTTGCCACTCGGGTTGTACGCCTTCACTGAGGCCGTCGGCAACAGAACATTTTGACAAGTGGACTGTTGACGGCTTAAGGCTCAGTGGAGGCGGCCGTGGTGGGAACTAAGGCAGCAGCTAGACAGGGCCGCCTCCATCAAATGGGGAACAGTGGTACACCAGTCGCGGCCACTCAGCTAACGGAAGTGAGAAGGGTCCAGCGGACCGATGAGTGGCCGTGAAGTTCCTCTCCACACGCTGAGGGGGGGTGATGACACCCCCGCCCCTGGGGGAATTACCCCCCGACTGGTCGGGGGAGGGACTCCTTTCAAACTTAGGGGCCTGGTGGCTGGACGGCGGGCGCCGACAGTCACCCTGCAGAGGGCGTGGCTGAGCGCCCCCGCCCGTGGGGGTCGAGGGCCTGGCAGAGCCCCGAGAGGAGAT